TTTTGTTTTGGTTATCGTTTCTATACTTCAGCCACGCCCCTTTCCCCTTGCCTCCCGGACTCTCCTGCTCTGAGTCATCGGCGCAGACAGACGAGGCTCAACTGTACTTGCCGCTGACGCTATAAATTAAAATTATGTTGTAAGCACACAGCTACGCATGCGCACACGCACTCGCAAAAAAGCGAAGAGGAAAATAATAAAGCAGACAACGGAGTCCGGTTCCTTGGCAAGAAAAAATAAAGGAAAAAAGCAGAAAAGAAAAGAATAATGCGAAACTGAAGAAAAGTAATGCAAACACAACAGAAAGCAAAACCAAAACAAGACGGGAAATCGCAGGTCGAAATCATAAATACCCTATAAAAACAAAGGTAGTGGATTACTTTTGAAGATATTAACGTGTTTTAGTGGTATTCTATTTATTATTGTATAAACAAATATTAAAATATAAATAAATATTTTATTATGAAAATTTTTTTAAAGGTTTAAAAATAGTTATTGACAATGAAAAAATATATATTTACAGCAATTTAATAAATGCAATATTCATACTTTTTTTTAAGTTTCTACAATTTTTTGTCAATTAAAAATGAGGCTCTAATTTATTTTTACAAAACTTAGTGTGATCTGTAAGCCTCTTATTTCTTGAAAAGGGCAAAGAAAGCAGAAGCAGATCAAAAGGAAGCAGACGATGGATGCGACGCCGCTGAAAATTGCAGCTTGCAACATTAACATGTTTTATGTGCCACAGATCCGATCCGATCTGATCTCATTTAAACCGATCCGAGCTTAACTCGAGACTCATGTTGCACAGAAACAAAATATGAACAAATATAGAATCTAATATCTTAAAAACAATATAATATAAAACAGAGTTATATTTTTTCTTTACCTAGAAAAATCCCAATAATAGATACTTACTTTTAATTTAATTTTATAAATAACTATTATGTTGGCTTCCATGGTAAAATTTGTTCAAACAATAAACTAAATTATTTGAAATAAAATATACATATATAAATACTATACATTTTTCTCGGTGTTCTCGTGCTTTGGACTCACTGTGAATCGAGGCAGATCGGTTTGGTTGCCTCCGATCTGCGAGGGCTTCTTAGGGGGTTTTCGGAGGGGGGTGTTATGGGAGTGCCCTGGGTTTTCCCTTTTAATGGAGGAAGTCGACTGGTCTCCTGCGGAAGGAAGTCGCGCCTGTTCCGCAATTCAGCCTGAACAAAAGACTCACACCGAAAAAGATTCGCATGGCATGAATGCAAATTATCGCAGAAATGTTATTGAACTTTTCCAAGATAAAGATGAGGATAGCCAGGAGCTACATGATTTTAGAGGGACGATCAGCGGGAGGCGAAAAAGGAACCAATGTGTATGTCTGTCTGTCTGTCCAAATGGAATCGCATCCATGTGTTGGCAATAACCTCGTTTCCTTTGTTTTTTGTAGTGTTGTTGCTGCTCCTGAAACGCCTACAAGTGTCTGTTTTGCCGAAACACTGAGATAAATTCTTAAATTAATTTTAAATACAAAGAAAAAGTTCCATAATATACATACATATTTAATTATTATTATATTATTCTTTTATAGCCTCTTTCTTATTTTTCAAACCATTTCACTTTCAATTTTCCATTTATTTTCTACTGTGCACTTTTAATGCAGGGGCAGTGACAAAAACACTTTTAATTGCTTTATTTTCCAAACGCGGCACAGGCATGTGGAAATGTAAATGGGATCGAGAATGAGTACGATCCTTTTCCTTTATTTATTGCAAACAAATGACAAGTATCCACTTACAGGGCATCCAATTGCCGTTTCAATTGTTTATGCCCCCGCCCCTTGAAATATTGCCCGAAAGTCATTGAGAAGTCACAGATGATTTGATCTTTACGATGGTGTTGTATGTGCGGGTCTCAGTTCTCCAGGGGTAGGTAATGGAAAAAAAGCGACTTAAGAGGCAATTTAATGTTGTAAACAGGAAAAAATTCGGTTGAAATCTGCAAGCAAAAATTAATGGTATTGTAAGCAAGTCCATTAAAATTCATGAACATTTATATTTCAAAATTTCATAAGCATTTCCAAATTATGTGGGACTGATTTATACTTAATGAAATATATTTATGTATATCTTCTTATTTTACACTACCAAATATTAGAATATTATTTATTATTATTATTGTATTTTTGTTTGTTCTTCGAAAAATCTAAATTAAAATGCTTCCAAAACCCCAATAGACCTCATTACAACTCATTAAACTCCCGATTGATTGTGACCGAAATAAAAATTAAAATCAATGCCCCCCACACAGAGACATTACAGCATTTCCCATAACCATAAGGACGAAAACGATGTGTCTAAGTTGTTTGGGGGACAGCCATTACACATGTAAATCGGGAAGCGGGAATCGGGGTCCCCGAAGCCATAACCCCAAGGAAAACAAACCGAGCGACAACTGAAAATGCACAAATTTATATGTAAACGATGGAAAACTGATCAACATATATAATTACCGAAATTTTCCATGGGTAACGTGTGAACGGGGAACCGAAAACGAAAACGAAAACGTAAACGGGATCGGGATCGGGATCGGGAACGTGATCTTGGGTTACCGGTGAAGGGTGAAGGGGGAAAATCGAAGGCGGAGACGAGAACGGGGACAGTCCGCAGATAATGTGGAGTAGGGAAACCGTTGACAACAACGCGGAGATTATGAAAATCTTTGGTCATTGGGTTACGGGGAGAACGGGGACAAAAAGTGAAATATCAGGGGTTAGTTTTTAATATAATCAATGGAGTACAGTGGACGATCGGTAGAGGGAATTTATAGATTCCATTCATAAGTTAAGTTTTGGAACATGAAATAACTCAACAGAACTTTTTCTAAGAAATTCTAATAATAAAAAATATTTTAAGGTTAATATTATATAACTCAACAATGTTTTTTAGGATCGTAAAATTATTGATTTACTATTATTAAAAATGCGAGTATTCAAAATCCTAAAAATATATGTACCTAGTGTTAATATTGTGATTTATGTCTGTATAAACTGAAAAATATATTGTGCAATTGAGTAGAAAGTGTTGCATTAGAAATGGTTTATCATCAGGGACTTCCTTCGCTTCGATCGACCACTGTGTTCCCTAAGGGTTCGACTTAGTATCTAAACCATACTTGAATGCACTTACGGAAAATCTCCAATCAGCAGCCACGACCCCCTACTGCTGAGAGTTTCTGGGTTTCACTCGGTCTTTCGGATTCTCCGATTTTTTATGGCATGTGAGCCCCGAAAGGGCCAGAGATACTGAAAGACAAACGGACGGACCTGATATTCGAGAGTCTTTCGGGGGGGGGACCTAGTGGTATGTGCGTATCCTCCAGTGAAGTGGCAAAAGCGACGTGAACCGTTTTCCAAAAAAAGGATAATAACAAACGATCCGGCCGGCGAGCACTAACGCATATCAATGGCTTTCGAGCGAGGAGGTCGTCGAAGGAAACGTTTAACGCTAAACACTTGAAAGGCCAGCCCAAAAATCACAAAAAAAGAAGAGAAAAAACCCAAAAAGAGCGGAGATGCATACTTATGGAGGCATGTCTTATCTGCTGGCACATAAAGTGCCAAAAATTATGGCAAGAGGAAATTGAAAGTATTGTCTGTCAAAGTCAAGGGGCGACGTGAGATCTTGGGTTGTGCATTATTTGTAGGTATGTACATATGTTGTGCACTATAAAGCCACGCAACAGTCATAAGTCATAGTGAGTACCGAATACCAACTGAAAGCGCAATGAGATCAGATTTAAAAGAATAAAAATATTTTAATAATTCAGCTAGTCAGTTTTTAACTTATAAGTTCATACTTATTGAAAAAAGTGTTTTTTTATGCTTTAACATTTAAAATCGCTTTGGAAAGTTTTTTATTAAAAAACAATAGGGATATATTTAACAACTATAAAATTTAACATATTAACAAAATATTGTAGTCGTTATTTTGAAATTGTCTTACAATTATTTAGCATGTAGATAATGTACATGCTCCTACACAATTGCACCCAAAGCGCCACCTAGCAATGTAAAATGTTTCAAATGTTTCCTTGGTCCAACTTCTATTTTAAACTAAATGTATTTATAGCATGTAATTCTTGTACAAATATAAAATTTGTATACATATATTAACTTTCTTTAAAGAATCAATAATAACAAATAAATTAGTTTTATTTAAACCTGGGGCTGATGACTACGCATTTTGTAGCACGCTTTTGTGCTGCTGCTGTTTTTCGACAGCCGCAAAAAAGGTGCATAGTTTTGGGGAGCGGTAATGTTTAATTATTTTCTGTTATTTTCTTGAAAGTATGCAGCATTTTACAGAGCCCAAGGAATCAACCTTCTCGCCCAAATCCAATAGATCAGTGACTTAGGGCCGGTTTCTCGAGTCCCTGTCAAAGTCCCTGATAGCTATCTGTTCGCTAAATCAAAACAGTTTTTTCGCTAAAGCAATGGAAATATTGACCCAAATATAAATGGTCATACCTTTCTGAACTCTTTATTAAATTTCATATCGATTGGAATTTAAACCTTGATATTTTATTTATTTTTATTTTTCGCAAAAAAATCATGGTCTACCCCCTTATAAAAAAAATAAAAATTGGCGAAAATTTTATTTTTCCAAAATCACACGGAAAGTGTTATGGATTTATTGATAATTTTGTTATCTGTTAAAAACAGTATGTATTTTTGGTGTAGGACCATTTTTGGCCAAGGTACAGAAAAAAAACCAAAAGAAAAAATTCATATTTTTGTCAAAAACCGAAATCCGAAATTTCCAAAAAAAAACAAAACAGGTTTTTCGCTAAAACAAAGGAAATATTGACCCGAATATGGATTGCCATACCTTTCTGAACTCCTTATTAAATTTCCAATCTATTGGCATATAAACCTGGACATTTACATTTTTCGCCTTTTTTCGCAAAATAAAAATTAAATTTCCAAAAAAACAACACACTTTTTACATTTTGCATCAAAAGCCAACAAATATATATTTGATAGCATTTTAAATTTATATTTAATGCCGAATTTTGTTTAAGTATAATCAACAATTCGATAAACTCTTACTTCTGCGAAATGGAACAACAATTTAAAAAATTATGTATAGAAATCATATTCAGATGCGCTTCGACGCGGGTTTTGCAGGATCGATGATTGCTCTGCTTGGATATTTAAAGACTTCGAAATTTGGACTTCTCCATCGGTTGACTGTAGGTTTTCTCCGTGGGCGATCGATATATTCATATTTGAAGCGCTTGAATGATATGAGTCTTGAGTTATCGACGAATTTCGGGAATCTGTGCTGTCAATATCTACTAAGCACGAAGTTAGATATCGACTTGTCGCGTTTTGTGCCTCTTGAGTGCCTTGTATTGGAGATTCTCGAACAATTGGCCATTGACCTTCTTCCAGGACTGGAGAAGGATTTCCTACATCGCACTCGCTTCCAAAGGCAGACCCGAAATTCGAGCGAACAGGAAACAAGCAACTCATTGAACCTTCCTTTCCTTCACCCTCATTTGCGTCCATTTTGTCCTCTTTATCATCCCTAACAAGTGTTGGCAAGTTCTGAAAAACTCGCGGATAGGTCCATCCTGGAGTGCCGAAAAGTGGCTGGGGATCGGTGATCTCATTCTGAACTTCCGCCGGCACATCCAGTTCCATACTTTCAACCCTTTCGGGCTGGTCGAGACCTTGATGCGGAGTGGCGACTTTCGTCTTCTTTTGAATGCGCTTACGCGGCTTAGGCATCTCCTTTCCAGGAATCGGAGTCTCAATCAACATATTGGTGTCCGGCTGACTCGGATCCAGGTGTCCGGGACTTCGCTTTCCGCGCTGAAATAGGTAGTAGTATTAATACGTATCCAATAGTTCCCATAGGAATAATAGGAAAATAAGGGATTTGCTATCCCAAATATAATATTTTTTAACATTTTACAATTCTGAAGAATATTGGACAACTTTACTAAGTAGCTGTCATAGGAACAATCAAAAACTTAATGCGAAAATTAATTAATTTTTGAACATATTGTCTTCTACTTTTTGGAATCTCTTTTGAAGTATTTTCGAATGTCGAATTCATTTTACAAACGATAGCTGCCAAAGAAAGGATAGAAAAACGTATGTCGAAATACAAGGAAATCAAGAAATGAAGAACAACTAAATCTAAATGTACCATTTTTGTGAGATTTCTGACACTAGTTAACACTAATCACAGGACTTACTGGATAAATTTCGTTACCGAGTGGATCGCTGCCATACTTACAGCACTCTGCCTAGCACGGCGCAATGGTGCACGAGGTTTAGCCGCATCAGTCGTATTCGTGGTCGGACCAGGCGGAGCCCTCCCCACGCGCCCAAAGACCATGCAGCTGAGCCCGTACTTCTCCGACCCCCTCCGCCTGAGGATCCCCAGCTTCGTTAGGTTGCCCAGCGACTCCTTCACCACCTGTTCTAGGTTCTCCACTGGAAGGCACTTCTTAGTCTGGATCCTCACCTGCTGCGTTATATCATCAAGTCGCACGAAGTCGGTGCGCGACGATTGGAGGGTGCTGACCGCCTTCAGAACATTGCGGTTCATCTTTTTGGGCACTTTAAAGGGGTCCATGACTCAACCGATACGAAGTGTTGATTTGGGGTGCGTGCTGCTAGTGGGAAGTGAGAGATTCGACTGAATGAAAGCTGTCATAAACATGTTTAGGTTGTAGAAGAGTCTACTGGGATTGGGTTCCCAGGAGTTTTTCAATTTTTATACTCCTATACCATTTTCAGCTGAAAAATTGTGCATTCCTAACTGTAATTTGGTTTCGATTTTTTAGTAATTATATATTAGTTTTAGTAAAACAAATTGATTTCAATTTATAACCCTTTGTTGTACAATTCTAAAAGAAAGCGGCGATAAAGCGGACTATAAAGTCCCACTCAATCCAAATCAGTTGATAATTTGATTTAAAAAATGCAGATACTATTGGAATGTAAATGTACGATAATGGGGTCTCTTAAAGCACTCTTTTTCCGGGTTCTGGTAATAAGAATTCGAGCCATAATGTTCACCAATCAATATTTTATTAAAAACGAGTGTTCTTCACTAGTTTTCAAACTCAGTTATGGGTTCCGTGCCTCGCAGAAGGATTCACCTCGGAGACTGGCGGACGAATGGAACGCCTCCCTTCACGCTGGCAATGGAGAGGTCCGGATGCATCTGGGGCGTGGATACATGTCCACTGCCCACGGAAGCGCCTCCAGGGCCTCCTGGGCCTCCAGGAGTTGGGACCGAGGGACGGATCACGAGGTTACTGGGTGGATTGCCCCGGCGAGCGGCGATGAGCTTCTGCAGCTTGCTCACGGCAGTCCCGCGCTGAAGCCCCAACAGTTGACGCATGGCTTCCGGGTCACCGGAGTTGGCCTTCTTCATCAGATTGGAGTCGCATCCCTCGTCGACGACTATGTAGTTGACGACATGCGCATGCGTTCCCGGCTTGATCCGGTAGATGGGCTGGCCGCCAGAGCCTCCGCTGAGCTGCGAAAGGGCCGGAATGTCGCCCATCTTCGCCTGCTCGCCGCCCACCTGGAAGATTGCGGTGTTCCCATCCACGACCAGTGGCTTGGGCATTACGCACGGCGCCGTGACGAACTGGTGGCTCTTCCGCTTGGTCTTGCTCACCACAGCAGCCACTTTGCATGCGGCTGAGCTGCAGGCATCCTCGCCAGAAGCTTTTTTCCCTTGGGCGGAGTTCTGCATTTCGTGGGCCAACGGGTTCTGAGGAGCAGAAATATGAGAAGTTACCTATTGAGTATTTAACTTGGGATTTCGCACCAACCGTTTTTCTTATTTAAATGATTTAACTCAACCTTTGGCAAAATCAGCGTCGTCTTCTTCTGGCTTTTTCTACGAAATTGTTAGAGTAAGTCACGTGGGCATGCGTTACAAGCTTAGAAAGGGACAAATATGTATGACCCTGTGGGATTTTGTAGGATAAGATTGCATGGTCACTTTGAGCAAAATGTGTTAATGTTTTTAGGTTTATCATATCCGGAAGGTATTTCTCAAAAGCAATTCAATTTCAACTTCTAGACGCTATGAAATAGTTTTGTATTAATTTATAAGTATCAGCGTTGGTTTTAGATCCCATCGGAGTTATTTACCTTCATTGGTCAGTTCTAATGAGCAATTTTAAGAACTTCTGGTATTTTTTGGTATTTTAAAATACGTCAGCACGGTACTACTTGTTGCGACCAATCCAATTAGGTGCTATTAACCAATAAGAATAATACAAATAATATTTTAGCGCCAAAGAACTCCGTGCGGCATAACAAGAAGAAACTATTAATTCCGACAATTGTGCCCACCCAATTATAAGTTAGTTTTCAAAGCTTTGAACTTTAAAATCAGCCATTTCAAGTTGTTTCAATTATAAAGTTCAAATTTAAGGATGAAAAATTCAAAGTGACCATGCCATCTTATCCTACAAAATCCCACAGTGTCATATATATTTGTCCCTTTCTAAGCTTGTAACGCATGCCCACGTGACTTACTCTAACAATTTCGTAGAAAAAGCCAGAAGACGGCGACGCTGATTTTGCCAAAGGTGAGTTAAATCATTAAACTAAGGAAAACGGTTGGTGCGATAGTGGGAAATCCCGGGTTAATTGCTCAATAGGTAATTTCTCATATTTCTGCTCCTCAGAACCCGTTGGCCCACAAAATGCAGAACTCCGCCCAAGGGAAAAAAGCTTCTGGCGAGGATGCCTGCAGCTCAGCCGCATGCAAAGTGGCTGCTGTGGTGAGCAAGACCAAGCGGAAGAGCCACCAGTTCGTCACGGCGCCGTGCGTAATGCCCAAGCCACTGGTCGTGGATGGGAACACCGCAATCTTCCAGGTGGGCGGCGAGCAGGCGAAGATGGGCGACATTCCGGCCCTTTCGCAGCTCAGCGGAGGCTCTGGCGGCCAGCCCATCTACCGGATCAAGCCGGGAACGCATGCGCATGTCGTCAACTACATAGTCGTCGACGAGGGATGCGACTCCAATCTGATGAAGAAGGCCAACTCCGGTGACCCGGAAGCCATGCGTCAACTGTTGGGGCTTCAGCGCGGGACTGCCGTGAGCAAGCTGCAGAAGCTCATCGCCGCTCGCCGGGGCAATCCACCCAGTAACCTCGTGATCCGTCCCTCGGTCCCAACTCCTGGAGGCCCAGGAGGCCCTGGAGGCGCTTCCGTGGGCAGTGGACATGTATCCACGCCCCAGATGCATCCGGACCTCTCCATTGCCAGCGTGAAGGGAGGCGTTCCATTCGTCCGCCAGTCTCCGAGGTGAATCCTTCTGCGAGGCACGGAACCCATAACTGAGTTTGAAAACTAGTGAAGAACACTCGTTTTTAATAAAATATTGATTGGTGAACATTATGGCTCGAATTCTTATTACCAGAACCCGGAAAAAGAGTGCTTTAAGAGACCCCATTATCGTACATTTACATTCCAATAGTATCTGCATTTTTTAAATCAAATTATCAACTGATTTGGATTGAGTGGGACTTTATAGTCCGCTTTATCGCCGCTTTCTTTTAGAATTGTACAACAAAGGGTTATAAATTGAAATCAATTTGTTTTACTAAAACTAATATATAATTACTAAAAAATCGAAACCAAATTACAGTTAGGAATGCACAATTTTTCAGCTGAAAATGGTATAGGAGTATAAAAATTGAAAAACTCCTGGGAACCCAATCCCAGTAGACTCTTCTACAACCTAAACATGTTTATGACAGCTTTCATTCAGTCGAATCTCTCACTTCCCACTAGCAGCACGCACCCCAAATCAACACTTCGTATCGGTTGAGTCATGGACCCCTTTAAAGTGCCCAAAAAGATGAACCGCAATGTTCTGAAGGCGGTCAGCACCCTCCAATCGTCGCGCACCGACTTCGTGCGACTTGATGATATAACGCAGCAGGTGAGGATCCAGACTAAGAAGTGCCTTCCAGTGGAGAACCTAGAACAGGTGGTGAAGGAGTCGCTGGGCAACCTAACGAAGCTGGGGATCCTCAGGCGGAGGGGGTCGGAGAAGTACGGGCTCAGCTGCATGGTCTTTGGGCGCGTGGGGAGGGCTCCGCCTGGTCCGACCACGAATACGACTGATGCGGCTAAACCTCGTGCACCATTGCGCCGTGCTAGGCAGAGTGCTGTAAGTATGGCAGCGATCCACTCGGTAACGAAATTTATCCAGTAAGTCCTGTGATTAGTGTTAACTAGTGTCAGAAATCTCACAAAAATGGTACATTTAGATTTAGTTGTTCTTCATTTCTTGATTTCCTTGTATTTCGACATACGTTTTTCTATCCTTTCTTTGGCAGCTATCGTTTGTAAAATGAATTCGACATTCGAAAATACTTCAAAAGAGATTCCAAAAAGTAGAAGACAATATGTTCAAAAATTAATTAATTTTCGCATTAAGTTTTTGATTGTTCCTATGACAGCTACTTAGTAAAGTTGTCCAATATTCTTCAGAATTGTAAAATGTTAAAAAATATTATATTTGGGATAGCAAATCCCTTATTTTCCTATTATTCCTATGGGAACTATTGGATACGTATTAATACTACTACCTATTTCAGCGCGGAAAGCGAAGTCCCGGACACCTGGATCCGAGTCAGCCGGACACCAATATGTTGATTGAGACTCCGATTCCTGGAAAGGAGATGCCTAAGCCGCGTAAGCGCATTCAAAAGAAGACGAAAGTCGCCACTCCGCATCAAGGTCTCGACCAGCCCGAAAGGGTTGAAAGTATGGAACTGGATGTGCCGGCGGAAGTTCAGAATGAGATCACCGATCCCCAGCCACTTTTCGGCACTCCAGGATGGACCTATCCGCGAGTTTTTCAGAACTTGCCAACACTTGTTAGGGATGATAAAGAGGACAAAATGGACGCAAATGAGGGTGAAGGAAAGGAAGGTTCAATGAGTTGCTTGTTTCCTGTTCGCTCGAATTTCGGGTCTGCCTTTGGAAGCGAGTGCGATGTAGGAAATCCTTCTCCAGTCCTGGAAGAAGGTCAATGGCCAATTGTTCGAGAATCTCCAATACAAGGCACTCAAGAGGCCCAAAACGCACTCTTCCTGTGCCCTTCCTCTTCGAGTTTGGAAGACATATACCGAAATGATATATCTGAGGATGCAGAAGGAGAAGTCGAAATTTCCCGTGCAAAGATCGATCTTACAAATGCTGCGTCTGAATATGATTTCTATAAGTAACGATGTAGTGATCCGTTTCGCTTCAGTAATAGTTCACCGATTTATTGATTAAACTGTAAAGAAATAAACTATATAAAAATTCAAAAGCAAGAGAATAAATATTAAAATGCTTTTGCTCGTAATTAAATTAAATTTTATTTTAATTTTTGTTTTTTTAATTACCATGTAAAATATAACAAAAGTACATTTGAAAACTGGAAATGTTTACTATGTCTCCCAAAAAAAAAAATGTAAGTAAATTTAATAGTAAGGAAGTATACGTATACAGCCGCCAATATCGCTGAAAAAGGATGCCTTGAAGAAATAAACCAACTCGAATATTTTTAAATATTATCTTTTCATTTATTTAGATTCATTAGGTTTTCATTTTCATTTCTCGTCTGTATTCCATATTCCATACTCATTCAAATCTGTTCATAATGTCATCTAATCTTCCCATTGTTTTATCATATATCATTTGCCATGCGGTCATTTCTTTTTTATCGCCAAACAGAGTGACTTTCTTTCTTAGGTTTCATTAATATTACTTACTCTTGCATGCAATTATGTATTTGACTTTGGGTTTTCTCTTGGTTTTCAGGGTAGATTTTCATTAATTTCATAAATGATTACGCTTTTCACATACATAACTACATATATATACATAGAATATACATATATATGTATATGGTAATTCTGAGAGAGGCGAAACATAACCGAAACAATAACGAAACAACAAAAGCCAGCTCGTAACTACATATATATATATATTTATTTTGGATTCTGGGTGACTTAGTCTGGGTAAGCCCTATTTGGTACTATAGTACGCCTGATCAAGTTCAGTGGTAAATAATTTGCCGATTTTCCGCATTCATTTTTCATTTTCTTCTCTCGGTTCGAAATCCCCAGAATTTTGACCCAGCTAATAGCTTCCCTTTTTCCTTCAATATGTGTGTAGTGTGTGTGTATTGTGTTGTCCTTGTTCTTGTTGTAGTTGTGGGTGAGCCTTTTGTAAATGTAATTGTATAAATTTCCAAAAAACAAAAAAAAATGCCTAACTGTTTGCCCAGTAACGCCAGCGTTACGTGATCTATATGTATATAATATCTCCCGATATTCTCCACTCGCCTGAAATGCCGACCTGCGAATCGGAAGGACTCGTCTACAATCGGTACCTCAAGCAACATTTCCCTTCCTTCCATTATTTCTTTCTAACAACCGTCGTCGCCAGCGCACAATTTATGGTATTTTTTTTTTGTATCCTTTTAGTATAGTTTTTGTATATTTTGTTTTGTGTTTGGTTTCATTCTTTTTGTTTTGCATTCGTCTTTGGTGTTTTCTCATTTCATTATAGTACAAAACTTGCCATTTCAATATCGTTTGTATTATTTTCTCTCTCTTCTTTTTCTTTTTTTGGTATTTTTGTTTGGTTTTCTTTTTCTGGTATTTTCTGGTATCTGTTTTTGTCGCCTGCTTTATATAGTTATAGATACATATACTGTAATATATATTTATGTATAGTTATTAAGTTATCTCAAAAAAAAGTTCTCATTTACGGCTAACAGCACAACAAACAGTTTTCATTTGGTTTCTTTTCCTTCGGCAACTTGACTCGTGATTCCCAAAAATTTGGCCAACCTGTGCTACAAATGCTGATCTCTCGCTACCCATATAAATATGTACCTTTTACTTTTTCACTTTTTCTCGTATATATGTATATATATCCCTTTATGTAAGTGGGTATCCTTGATGACACATGACGCTACATAACTCTATGTGTGCAATATATGCGTTAAATATATATAGATATATATATTTGATTTCCTTTTAATAGTTATATACACTGATATAATTGGCGGCACGTCAATAGGGAAAATCAGACAAAAATACAGGGAATACGCATCGAGTGCCTCTACTAGACGATTCAATTTCAATTTCAGTCAAAAATTGAGTGGGGGGGGGGGGGTTCGGGGTTTGGGGTTTGGGGGGTCTAATATAGATGCCTATATAACTTGCTGGTTTTCTTTCGGTTTTGCTTGGCATGTTTCTAACAATTACATTCAGATACTTTTCGATTTTTGTTTTTAACTATAAATTGCTTGTTCTCATGGGGATGATTTTAACTTTTTACTGGATGATCTGCACTGCGGGTTCGGACTTTAAGTTCGTCGAATTACACATACACGTACAACATCTGGTTAGGTTAAGTTTTAACTCGAGTATACATCAAATGTTACATCCGTTACTGCATATATGCCTAGTATATATCTATATATGTTGGTATGCATATAAAGTTAAATGTTCGGTTAATACTCTGTTAAGTTACATTATAACCAGCATGAACCGGTGTCTCTGTGGGGGAATCTCTCTAGGTTTTCGGTTTTTCCGGCTCTATGGTTCTACGGAAAGACTTCACTCGCAGGGAAATTCGTGTTACAAATACAATATTATTAGTAGTTCATTTTCTTCAGTTACTTATTTTGTTTTCTAGCTTAGTTTTTGTTTTGTGAGAGGAGAAAAAAGTCATTTGGTTTTGTTTGCTTTTTTTTCTTTCTTTTATTTATTTCACTCAATTTGTTAAAGTAGCTTTTTGTTTTGGTTTTTGTTTAAGTTCGCCATGGACTTGCCGTCATTTTTGTTTTTGTCGCAACTATGGTTTAATTAATAATATATGTATGTAGGTAATATATCTTGCTGTATTTGCTGAAGGTTGATTAAGTTTCGAAAAAAGTAATTCTGAAGCGCACATTTACAATGCTGCTTAAATTGCTATAAAGTATCTTGTTCTTCAACTTTGCATCTCGTTTTTTAATGATATTTTTAGACCATCAAGGTTCCATTTCATTTCATTACATTTCATTCACATATCATATATCATATCATATCATATATATATTTGTTATAAAAAAAACACTATTTTATGCGCGGATCCTGCCCGCTTAAACACAAAAATAAATGTATAGCACTAGGTCTGAAAAAAATAATGTTTTTGGGTAATAAATTAATAACAATAAAACATAATATTAAACAATAGTTAAATTATGCGCGTTTAGAATTTGGCCTGCCACATTGATCGATCCGCGCACCAGCGCCAGTATCGTGACTTTACCTATGCATATAGCATATGGTATATGTCTATATATCTATATATGTATCCGTATAGGTTAGGTATAAATAATCGTATTATAGCCAATGACTTTTTCGGTTTATATCTGTGTTTTTTGTTTTTTCTTGTTTTGCTTTTCCTTTGTGTGTTGGTTTTGCTTTGCTTTGGTTTTTCATTTTTCATTTGGAAAACTAAAAATTGCTTGTGCTTGAAGAGTCTTTTCTGGTGGTTTGCTTTGTGGTTTGTAAATTGTGTGCTTTCTGCCAGTAAGTTTAATGTTTGTTCACTAAATTCATCGATGCTCCCTCTCTTTCTCGACCGGGTGTCTTGTCTCTTTCGTTTTTAAATTGTGTGGCTCAGTAAGTAGCTTAGTAACTAGTAAATAATGATATAAGTAAATATATAGCGAAAAATATTTGCGAAGACAGCGTTTGACATTATTTTCGGTTTATCTCTCTCTAATTTCTTTTCTTCTCATCTCTTCTCCTTTCCTTTTCTATATCTTTATCATCTTTCTCTTTCTCTTGTTTTCTGGAAGCAAATCAAATTGCAATTCAAATCGAAAATCGAAAATTGAAATGGAAATTCTTTAGCTAATTGTACAATAGTTTTTCCTTTCTTTTCCACCTTCCTTTTTTTCTCTCCACTTACTTCCTTATTTATGTTATTTATGTGTTTTTGGCTTTGTTTTCATTTTAGTTTTAGTTTGGCTGCAACATTTGCTAGCCGCTTGATTTAAATTCGAGTCCAACATTTAAATTATTTACAAATAATATTAAAAAAAAATATTTATATCATATATATTACTATACAACTACAGTCTGGCTGTAGACTGTTCTTCTTTGTTGTTTGGGGTTCGGGATTTGGATTTAGATTTGAATTAAATGGTCTTAACTCGGGTGGCTTTCAATTTTGGTTTAATTCACTGGGTTCTTACACTTAACATGGTTGGTTTTAGTTTTTGTTTTTCTTTTTGTTTTCGCTTCTATCGCTGGGGTCTAAATCATAAAAAATTCCATATGTGTGTTGCCGTTAGCGTTAATCGGTCTAAAGTTAGATCTAACGTTATCAATCGAGTAAAATGAATCTGTTCGGGCATGCAAAACATTCAAAACTTAAAAACTTCTCTTAAGCTAAGTCGTATTAATTATTCCTTCCGTTCGGTTGTTTTTCTTGTTTTTAAATATTTCACTTTAGTCAATGGTTTAAAAGAGGAGACTTGGTTAGGGGGCTCAGGGGGTTTTTCTCCGATTGATGTCCCACTTCAGATGAATTTAACAAAAATCATTTGCCTACACATGCAACAAAAATCGTCTATATAATTGGGGGAAGGGGGCGGTAGTTTTGGTATCTTCTTAGTATTACTTATCAATGGGGTTTCTCATTATCTTTGCTTTGTCTTGGATTTAGTGTGTGTGTGTACGTTTAACAATATGTAAGATTTCTCTTAGTTAGCTCATCTCCTCGTGATCTCTTTTTTTCAGTGTATTTTCAACATCAATCTCGGTGTTCCATTAAGTAAATTTCTAATTTCCTTTTTCGTTTTTCTCTAGGCTTTATAAGTTAAACGGTACTTTTGCTATTGCTGTTTTGGATTCTTTGTATGCTTTAAACATTTGTTTAATATTTCTTTAGTTGGCTTTTTGGTTTTTTTTTGTATTTTTTTTTTGCATTTTTCCAAGAGTTTTTCTTTGTTTTTTTTTGAGTTTTTCGTTTTTGGTTTTTGTTTGGTTTTTGTGTGTTAATAGTAGTCACTAACGTAATAGGAAAAAGTTGTGAGCCTTTTCCTGTATTTTGCGATAAATTCCCACGACTCTCCGTCACATTCCACCGTGCTGCGGTTGGTTTTGGCAGCCACCCGTCCTGGGTGCCACGCCCCCGCCAGCACCGCCACCGCCCCCAGCCCCGCCCAGCGCGGAGGCGGCGGTGGTTCCGGTTGTTCCGGTGGTGGTGCTCTCGCCGCCACTCTCGTCGCCCTCCTCCAGCTCGGCGAGGTTCTCCTGGTCGGACTCCTCCAGGGTTACCTGTGGGATGGATCAAAATTAGTGGGTTTGGCATACACTGGAAATCACAACTGACAAGGGTAAAGTGGAACAAATTACTGATAGCATATAGCCTATGGAAAATAAGCAAAAATCTCACATAATGTATTTTATAAGCCTGACCTTTAAATGTTGTATTTAACTGAGAACTTATTTGTAATTACTTGTAAAAATCACTGCTAAAAATTAAATTGTAAAGCTCCAATAGTACAATAATATTTCTTTTGATGTAAAGTATTGCTATAAATACTAAAAAATTATATTACTACTTTTAAATTTTAATATGGTGGGCTTAAGTAATCTGTAAGTCATTCATTAACAATTTCTTTCTTGGCAAACTCGAGGTCAATATTGGTTAAATATTATAACACAGCAAGTTTTTTTTATTTCTTTAATAATAATAAAATAAGAATATTCAAGAATCCAGGCTAGAGCCTGAATAGTATCGATATTTTCTATATTTGGACAATATCTTTTCGATAATATCGATGTTTTAAAGGGAAACACAACATAAATATTTAGAAATAGCAAATCTAGTCCAGGTTATTAATTGAGAACGTGTTCTTAAAAATATTATCATTATATGATTCAATGATGTAATATAAAAAACCGTAATTATTTGTTTCATTCAAAGATAATTGTTAAAAATGTTTAAAATGACAAAAGGCTAGTTTTAAGGTTTTTCTAGTTACTATTATAATATGCCCCTTAATTTGTTTGCAGGTCAGTAAGGGATTTGATTTCTGTAGTTTTCGGGGCGAAGCTCACTTGAAAGCGTATCCTGTCCTCCTGCGGATTCTCATCGACCCCCGACGGCGGCGGCGAGGGCGGTATCATGCTCTGGTAGTAGTCTCTGTTCTCTTCAAGCGTGTCGAGTATGTCCTGGGCGTCCGGGTGCACCAGGTCCGCCCAGGTCTCCCACAGCGGGTGGACGATATAGTCGATGAAGCCCACCTGCGACTTCTCGATGGTGGCGTTGTGGCGATCGCACATGGGACTGATGTCCATGCCCGACTCGCGCTCCTTGTCGCCCTGCAGGAAGAACTCCTCCATGAGCAGGGCCACCCAGCGCTTGTAAAGCGGCAGCGGCTTGGTGGGATTGCTCAGATCGGCGCAGTGCACCAGATTCTCGAGCACCTAATTAAATATATATATAGGTTAGTGATGATTCCATTTAATGTAATATCATATATCAGTGTGTCTTACCTGTATGCGATCGGTGTAGTTGTCCAGCAGCAGGACTCCGGAGCCGGCCACCTTCTTGGTTTCCACCATTGTCTTCAGGTCGGCCAGCAGACTCATGTGCTTGGACATGTCCGTGGACAGCACAATATCAATAACCATTTTCCTCAATGTTTGGCGTTGTTTCCTGGGCAAGAAAACAAATAAAAATAAATATATTTAATATGGACATTTTTGCTTGGTAATAATGGAATTTATTTCTAAGAACTCACTTTTGCATATTACAGAATATATCACATCCTTGATTTTGCAATAATTTAAAGGCAACAGCTAAATGATGATTTTCCAAAACAGATTCGTCATTGTACATTAATGCTAGTTCGGAACCTGCGGAAAAATCAATCAAATAATTAGTATTTTAATAAATTCTTAAGAAATATATTTAAAACACCCACTTGAGTTAACCAAGAACTGATTGGTTAAGCCGGGATGATCAACATCGTGGATGCAAGCGGCGAACAGTGCCCCGCCCACCTCGAGCGGTGTGAATACGCCCTCCAGCGCCGGTGTATTGAGTAGCACATTGGTGCTCTGGGTCACGTCGGCGGCATGCAGCGAATTGTGAAACGGATTGTCTTTGACGTAGTGGTCCTCCAGAGTAGTCATAAAGTTAAGAAAAGTTTTCGGTGGTATCATAAGACTGGTCAGTAATTCTCTACTCTGTTGGGTTTGAAGAAAAGAGAAGAGGAGAAAATATTAATATAATTTATAGATGAAATACTATTCTAATCTATTTAAATCTATATTAAAAAGTAGTTTTTAGCTCTGAGTTTCTGGGATATTTTTACTTACTTAATAGGAAATTGTTTTTGAAAAATGAAAGCATTAAAGCTTATGTCTACAAATTTATAGGTTTAAGGAAGTCGTCATAAAAAAAACTTGATACTAGCGCAAAATTGATTTATAGAAAAAATCGACATTGATAAAAATTTGTTTAAATATAGGACAAGTAATTAAAGTTCGCAAATCAAATCAGAAAATATACATATTTTAGATCCGCTAGCCTCCTTAAATCACTTGATTTACTTCCGTTTAGACCGTTTCGACTTTACCCACCTGAAATATGGTGTATGCCACACTGGTGAGCGGTCGGTTGACGCTGAACTCGCCGATGCTGAATATCTGGATGCCCCAGGTGTCCAGTTCGCCGAGCAGGGTGCCCAGCTCGTTCTCCCTGGGCGTCTCCACGCCGAAGGTGGGCAGCCGTTCGCCGGTGAAGCTGTTGGTGTGCGAAAGGGGCCGCTTCACGCCGCTGATCTGCGACATGGGCGGGCCGCGGGGGGAGCGGGAGCGGGCGTACTGGCCAGCGGACTGCTGGCCGCTGGCGGCGGCATTGGCGGCCACCAGCTCCGGATTATCCTCCACGCGCAGCGACGGCAAGTCGAACTCCTGCTGCTTGTCTGTATGGGAAATATCAGAAAAAAAGCAGAGTTAAATATTTGATATAACTATTACATTTTAATTTAATTTAATTTTTAAAGTAATTATAATCAGTGTATAAAAATTAGTTAAAAATAGAAAATACATAAAAATAATTACAAGCAAAAATTTATGCAATACTTATTTCTAACTTAGTTTTTGGTTTATTAGTCTAGGATTCATTTTCTTAGTAGCAAAAAATAAATACAAAATCCCTATCATTACAGAAAACTTGCTAAATAAAATATAGAAATAATTCAAATGAATGTGTAATATATTTTTTTGATATTTTTGAAAAGACTTGAAATATATTCTATATTTTTTTTTTTTTTTGAACAGACTTTATATACCGGCTCTGTTTTTTAGGGCTCTCTTATACCTTAGAAAGCCAAGACAAACAGGCATAAAGTACATCATCGCCTGCCACGAACACACATGTGCCAGAGAACGAACATCACCCCCGGCCTTATCTACATATATCTATATATATCTATATCTATATATCTGGGCCAAGGGATGCAGAGATGTGGAGCAGCGACCCAAGTCCTTCAACTCGCATTTCTCAGGGCCTTCTTACTCGGTGCTTAAACAGCCATATAAATATTCAAGCGTTCGACGGCAAACAAGCAAAACTTTTGCAGTTTCCCATTCAAAATTCCATTGCCTACTTTTTGGGGCCGCCACCCTGAGCCCTTAGCCCTCAGCCCTTAACCCTTAACCCCTTGTTGCCCCACCGTCCACCGCACACACAATCGCTTGTTTGTTTGTTTGTCGTTGTTTTTGGCATGAAGAGCAAATTCAAATTGCCTGTGCATAAATTAATATTCATTTCAAATTCCAAATTGCGTTGAATTTTCGTTTGCCGGTAAAAACTAAAAACTACATATGAAACATAAATAACGAGGCGCAATGCGAAAAGGTTGGGGTGGTTGGGGTTATTTGCAAGAACGTACACATCAAAAGTGACAGGATTTCGTCCTTTTAAAGGTTGTAATGTCTGCTCATATATTTTCAGCTGTTGGTCAAGGAAAATGTGAATTTTAAAGATTTTAAAGCCTTAAATTGTTGCGATTTCCTGTGATTTTTCCCTTTTATTAAATTTCTTTAAAAAATATTAAAAAAACGTGTTTCTTTTGCCAACTCTATCAGCTTGACAACGCATAAATATTCTCCAAAAATTCTTTTTTTTTGTGGCTTTTCTTTTTGTTTTCCACTTTTTACGACACTTTTTCTTCGGAGGGTCTGAAATCTCTTTCGAGGGGAAATGGAAATGTATTCCACCTGACGTGTGTGCGGCAGCATCTTGTTTTGCATATGCTTTCTCCACTTTCTCTTCATATTCCCTTTGCTATTTTCCCGTTTCCTACGGCGATTTTCAGGTGTTGAAATCTGTTTTTTCCCCACCAGAATTTTTCGAGAGTTTTCCCCCCTTTATTTCTGTTTCTTTTTTTTTTTGACTTTCGAGGTCGAGGCTTCTGTTTCAAATGAAGTGTTACAAATGGACATTAGGCAGTCGTGTGTGTGTGTGTGGGACTTTCTTTTTTTTTTGCTCTGTGTGTATCCCCCAAATGCGATTTTATGCTTGATAAACTACGGCAACAACAAGTTAGTTGGGTTAGGCCTGAAAATTCTAGTGAAAAGGTAGCCTTAGATCCCGAGAAGGTCACATTAGCCCCCGGTCCTCTATAGCCCCCCTTTTCACTGGGTGCCCAGTGAAGCAGAAATATGGACAAATGTGCAAATATGCCCGATATCCTTTCGCTCCCACCGCCCCTGTTCCTTTATTTTTTTCTGCGCTTTCAACTCTTTCTTTTTTTTATTTTTCGCTTTTCGACTAGGTGCGGCCCCTTTGTTTGGCCACGCCCACGCCGCCCACCGCCCAGTTTGCACAGAAAAAATAGGATAGCAATCGGAAATCTCTTTACCTCTCTGAAATCACATTAAAAGTACGCAACTATATACATATACACTGTCAAATATTTCTAGAGAGTTTTTAAAAATAGTTGATTTTAATATAGGATTTTTTTTGGTATTATCTAAGAATTTTTATTAAATATAAATTATTTTTAAGAGGTTAAAATGTATAGAATTTTATTTTTATTTTAAATATTTATTTTAAATGATCTGTAACTTAAAAATTTATTTATTTTTGCAATTAAAAAAATTTATATTTTGATTTTTTACTATTATAAATTAGAAACTACCGAATATACTAATTTTAATGCTTTATTCTGCCGTGCAAGTCACTCTTTAACCGTCGCAAAAAATTCTCGTTCCCCGCACAAAGTGCCACAAAAGTGGCTTTGGTTTGAACAAAAGTGGAAAAGTGGAAAGTGGCAGGGGGAAAGTGCGCCGGGGGAGGGGGAAAACTTTTTGGGGAAAATGGGGAACGGCAGTGGGCGTGCAGAGGTCTCCGCTTTGGGGGCTTGGCTCGCAGGTTAAACAATGAAATTTCCACTTCATCTGTTTTTATGCTGCTCTGCATAATTTAATTTTGCACTTTCAATTCGAGAAAAAAGGGGAAGAATTGGAAGAAACAGCGACTTCGACTTCTTTTGACGCAAATGCCCTATTAATATGTCCTATCTTTAATGTATTGATAAAATTGTATTCTAAAGACATTAGTTATTATTTTTAAGACGCTTCTCCTGAAAATATTTTAAAAACAATAAAAAAAGAAAAATTTAATTTAAAAAAAGAGTATAAATGGGATAGAGTATGGTTTTTTTCGACCTTCCCTTGAGCATTTTAAATCCATGATTTGCATAACTTTTGCTGGCATTTTTTCGCCCTAATTTGTTAGCTGGATGGAGAGATGGAGATGGATGGCTGGTGGCTTCAGCTACTTGAACTCTATTCTTTCGGCTTTTCCCGCCGCTGTGGTTAATGCGATTTTATTGCATACTTTGCTGAGCAAAACAGCTAGAAAAACTACAAAAACTACAAAAAAGAGGAGCAGGAGCAGCCTGAAACAAATTGCAGCCAGCAAAAGTTGAATTCCGCAAAACATCTTGAATAACTTTGGAGAGGGGGGCTTTGGGGGTTAAGTCATAGTTTCTGGCATTGATGACGAGGCGGAATCGCAAATAAGGGGTAAATACATTTGGAAATCCAGAGGAAATGATTCGAGTGTTGGGATTGTTGAGCAATTGTTTTGCAAAAAAGTTTGCCATCCATCTTGGGTGGAAAATGGATTTCCATCTTTAGTTGGATCGATTCGGGGGATCGGAATTGGTATGAAAAGACCACCTAATGCGATGCTGAATGAATAAATAACTAATAAAAAAGTAATCAAATTTAAAATATTTTTGCAAAGTGTGATGTTGATTTGTTATTTTAATAAATTTCGATTTTATGAATACTTAGTTTAACTTTTTATGTCACTAACTTAGTCTTCTTTAAAAACTATTTTTATCTCGATATTTATGCATCGAAACTCACCCAAAAATGTGGAACAAATGTACTCGGAAATCTGATTTCCCGATCTGCTGGACTCGCTGAAGTGTGACAGCTCCTTGTTGAGCATGCGTTTGAACTGGAAAAGGAAAGCTTCGAAGTTTTAGTTATGAATTTAATTTTACTTAATACCCATGACCATTTTCTTTAACTCGAACATGAGGTATTTAGTAAACCTTCAAAAAACTATTATTTTAATATTTTTTCTTGTTAATTAAAAATCCTTTTATCTATCATTTTACATCTTAAATATTTCTATAGTTAATAAATTGTAATAATATTTATCGTTATTTTAGCAAAAGTGATTTGAATACATAATCATAAGTAAATATATCAAAAAGTGTTGTATTTCCATAACATCGATATAATCGAACTTTGACTATCGATATTTTAAGGGATGATTTAAAAATATTATAAATATACATTTTCCTATGATTTGCGTTGAGGATCTTTATGTTTTCTCCCCAGTTCGAGTTAGGGGAAAATGGTACGAAATTGTGGGAGATCCTACCTTGAGCGAAGCCATGTCGGAGACGCTGCGATGGGTCTGGATGGTCTCCAGCTGGTCGAGGCACCAGTCCAGCTCCTCGATGGTGTCGGTGGCCAGGCGGGTGTAGGCCTCCTCGCCCTGGGACAGCGGGGCTCCCGAGGGATTTCCCGATCGGGAGGCCGACGAGGATTGGTTGGGCCGCCTGGATCTTGATGGATTAATACACAGTTCCCCACACACACACACACGCACACACAGATAGAGAGAGAGAGAGGGGGGAGAGATATGGGGACGGGGTGGGAGAGGGAAATGGGTTTGGGTTTTGGGGTTTAAGGTGCAAATACAACAAACAAACAAAATCATCAAACAAACAAACAAACGAATCAACAAACAATCGAACAAACATTTAAGGGTAATGGTAACGGTAAGCAAATATGGAAATGAAAGCGATTAAATCAAAAAATTAATATTTAAATTCAAAATGGGAAGTGGGGAGTATGGAAAATGGAAAATGGAATACGGAATGTAACGGTAGCATGGTGGGGGTGGTGTGGTGAGAAGAGAACACAACATTTAGATTTGTGGTTTTGCAAAAGTATCGGTGACACACATATAGACACATATGCAAAATGGTTAAATGAGAGAGAGAGTTAGAGAGAGAGCGAGAGAGAGCGGAAGAAAGAGAGAAAAAATATTTATATTTGTGAATTTTCGTAATTTTTTTCGGGGCGGGGGGTTAAACTTTCTATTTACAGCAATCACTGCAATTCAGGGGGTCGGGGTGACTTAAGGGGCCCTGCGGGGGGTTAAGGTTAGAGGTGTTACGTGCTTTAACCCATTTTCTCAAGGCGTGCATGTTTTAACATATAAGGCACTTGTATTTCGGAGATTTTTAATACAATTAAATGACATATTTTAGGGTTTTATTTAAAATTAAAATTGAATTCCATTTTCCTTCCTTTATTATTAAAAATATTATTTTATTAGTATTTATCTTTTATACATTAAGTAAAACATATTTTTTCTTTTCTAAAAATAGTTTGTTCCCATTATCCCATTAATGTAATACTTTAGACAACATTTTGTTAAAAATCAGTAACCCTTGCCTCGGCTCTCATAATATTAATCAAAGTCCTGGGAAAATTGGTTAAAACACTTAGGAATTAGTGGTTAATCACATAATAACAAAACAACGAACAGCGAGCAGCAATCGACAAGACAACAATTTCCCGGTTGAACAACCCAATTTGCAATTGTTCTTTGGAAAATCCACTTTTCAACAGAAATGTTCGCTAAATTTAAGTTGTGCCCCATGGATATATTCCTCGAAAATAAAATCGTATAAAATTCGTATTCTGTCCCAGTTGTTTTGGCGATATACTTGTAGTATTTTTGGCACATTTCGCGTCATTTCTGCAAATGGGGGGCTGTGTGTGCACTTTCAACCTTTCGTAGGGTTTTATTTATATTTTCCATCTATATCTATATTTATTTTTTTCATTTTTGTTGTATATATTTTCATGGACCGACCGACCATCAAAAGTTATTGTTAGACGAGAGTGTGATTTTGTTTGTTGTCATTGTGGTCGCTGCTTTTGATTAATTAAAGTGTGAGACGACAGAAAAACACACCAAGACCAGAGAGAGAGAGTGAGTAGGTTAAGGCGAGCAGAGAGCAGGCAGCAGCACACATAGGGGTTAAGGGGGGTTAAAACAGAGTGAGATTTCATATTTTTCGGGGTCAAGTACATCGTATATATATAGTACACAACAAATTGAATGCCTCCAGAAGGTTAAGGGGGTTGGTTAAGAGTTAAGAAGGGGGAGGGGGTAAGGGTAGAGGGTAGGGGGTAGGGCGATGGGGGGCCTTGTTAAGGTCACAATACACTTACTTGTTTGATGCTGGAACATTTGTCAGACTTAATAAATTGTTGCGCACTGAACGTAAGCTGGCTAAAATTTGGGCGAAAGGCGTCACAATGAGATCCTCGCCATGGCTGCAAAAAAAATTGAGAAAAAAGAAGAGAAACATGATATATAATTAGTAAATCTTTTAAATCACATCCAATAAAAATATTCCTCGTTATAAGCAAAAAGAAAGAGAAGAGAAGCCGTGTATGAAACATGCAAATACTACAAATATATGTTACCCTTAATATATTACTATTATTAATTACTAAGTTTTACTCTGTGCATTTTGTAATAATTTTTAGGTAGTGTTTTTACATTTAAAATAGAATTTGTTAAATAATAATATACATATTTAATTACATTTAATCATCTTTAATATATATATTTCAGCTTAATCACAATATTTGTTTAGAATTAAACACTTTAATCGCATTAACATTAATTTCCACATTTTTGCGGGTGCAATAAACACCTTTTGATTAACCATTGATGTTCTCCCCATTGGCCTGTAATTTGCCATTATAATCGCAAAGTGTGTTTGGAAATCTATAAAAGTCGGCCAACCAAATCCTCTTACAGCGTACAAGTTTCAGAGACTCTTTGATGCATTGCCAAAAACAGCGAAAACAAGACCATAAATAAACACGAAGAATTTTAAACGAAAATTTTGCTAATTTATTTAATTTATTTTTCTTTTTTCCTATATTTTGTTGAAACTATTTAACTTGTGTGGCATTCATTTTGAGTAGAATTTAAATGGCAAAATGTTGTGGAAATTGGAAACGTTACTCAAAAAAAAAAAAGGAAAGCAAAGCGAAAAAAGGACGCCATGGCGACGGCCAAGTTTGGGTTTTTATCCTCCGCTTATTTTCAAGTTGAAAATTCCACAGAAATTGTGGAAAACATATAGAAAGAAAAAAGGAATGGGAGGACATCGGCGGCGGGGGCGTGGCACATGGGCCGGACTTTTCTCCTTAGCCACTTGGCTCGGAATTTTCGTTTTCGTGTGCCAAAAATAAAACAAAAGGAGCCCGAAAATTAACGAAGAAAAAGCGAAAATCGAAATGGGGGAGAAAACGAGAAGAAACGAAAAACGTTGACAAACAAAAAATGGCATAAATTAATAATAATAAAAAATAAAACGCTAAATACATATAGGCAGATGTATATATATAAAGACGCGGGGGCGTTCACGTCGGTGACGTCACAAATTGGGAGACAAATTAAGCGCAGAAACGTGGAATGGCGCCAAAGAATTAAAATTAAAATTAATTGAAAGCAGAAACTAGAAGTTCGGCCAAAAAATATTCGGTTTTGGCAGTTTAAATTTTGGATTAATTTAATTCTTCGATTGAAATTAAATGTTTAGGGGGTTATTGAACATAATAATAATAAGAAAAATAATCGAAGGGTTGCATTTATTTCATTTGGCCATTTTTGTTAGTCTTTTATTTCGTCCCTCATTTACCTCTTACACCCAAAAAAAAACTTGATATAAAACAATGATTAATTTGATATTATGTGGTTATCTGTTTTGACTTGATATCCGGCATATCAACTTGATATGCTCAAAATGCTTTTTTTTTTGTGTGTAGCCCAAATGGCCAGACGACAAAAATCGAGAAATATATGCAAGAAAACTGCCATTGAGTGGGATCTTGAAGTATGTACAACTGACCTCTTTTGCGGCCATAATTGCAACAATAAAAACACAGCAAAAGTGGCTCATTTACAGGCTCCGTGCTTTCTTTTTTCTTCTTTTTGTTTTTTTTTCAGCTTTTGCAGTTTGAGTTCACATTTCTGGCCACTTTTCTTGCTTCTCTCATCGCCTGTCTCGCGCTATTTGCTTAACACACTTCTGTTTTGGTTTGCCTGACTTTTGGCACGTCGCATATAGCATGGAAATCGGGCAGAAAAATCGTGCCAGACATTATCCATCGTTAGGCGCAAATGATTCTGGACTAAAAAGGCGGGAAAGGCAGCAATTGCAAAACAAAACGTCCCCTTTGTCCCCAAAAACAAATGCTTTCGTCTGGCCTTTGTACTCGAGAAGAACTTTTTTAATGGTTAATTTTTCTGTTGACACTGATTTGTCATTTCGTTTAAAGAAATTCTAGGGGTACGTCCACCTCTGAATATTTATGTATTATTATTTTTGTGCCATATTCCCGGCTATTTTGGTTTATTAATATTGCGACGCATTTTCAACACGCCCCCAATTGACAAGACCATCGCCTCTTTAGTTGAAAACACAGAGTGACTCATCAAAAGTGTAGTAGGTAAATAAAAACAATTGAATAAGAAGGACAAAAGGAATTTGGAAGTGTCTTATTAAAAACTATTTGTAAGTACACATAATGACTTTCAGATACCAATTAAAATAAGTAGTTTTGATGTATGAAATTATTGAATCTACAAACTAGTTCTTATACATTACAAAAAAGTTCTAATTTAATAATAATATATTAAATTGATGTTTTCAAGGGAAAACAAATATTAAATATTAAGATATAAATAAAAAATAATTATAAATTCCTTTAAACATTTAACAAAGAAAATATCTAGTCAAAATACAATGACAAATCGGAACCAATTCTTTTAAAACTCACATTTTTAATAAAAATGTGTTCTTTTTGACATCTTCTAAAAGGCCCATGACAGATGTAAAGAATTTTGTCTCAAATGAAACAACTCTTTAAACCCAAATTCCCAATAAAACAATCATATTTTTAAGCCTAAAAATAAAAACAATTTCTGGGAATTCGAGTGACAATATTTTTGAAAGGTAATGACATTCGCTTCGAGTGAAATAAAAAGCCTTTTGCCAAAGGTTTTTTTTCGCAGAATTAACGAGGGAATTCCCGCAGTACAGCGGCAATAAATCTCTTATGCAAATTAACACAATAAAATTTCAATTAAAATTTATAATAAATACGGCAGATACAAATGGTATATACACTATATAGAAAACTAAAGCCCAGCCAATATATTGGCATAGAAATATTCGGTGGAAGCAAACGCGAACCATAGATCATAATTAATGGAGGCATATATAGAAGACACGCGGCTTGTTGAATGTCATTAAAATTGGAATATAAATATGTGTATTTAGTTATTTGCCGTATTCTCGATATATCTATAGAGATGGCGAACTATTTTGAGAGCTGGCCATAAATGGCCCTGCGATCAGGGACTATATATTCCTGGATATATATGTGTATGTGTATGGGTATACCTGCGCTGCGACTTAATGGAGAACATGTTGTCCCGATCGTTCAGTATGGTCACAGCCAGATCGTCCTGCATTATCGAGGGTATCATGTTGAAGAAGCTGTGCACTCGCGGCAGCGACTGCGATGCAGCTGAGTTTTTGTTGAGCATTTTGCTTGATTTATTCACAAGTTACAAATAAAGAAAACAAAAAAAAATATACACGATGTTTATGATTAAATCAAAATAAACAATCACTTTTGGCCCACTTGGGCCCACTAGTTGCAAATTCTTTTTCTTTCGCTCGATTAAAGTCTTTAAGTCGCCTGTTTATTTAGTTTCTCTGTGTGATTGAAGCAATCGGCTGGCTTGCTGGTGTTTTCTGAGATTTCCGCGGCTTGTTTGAGATTTTTTCGAAATTTCCACGAGCAACCGCTAAACGAGAATGAAGCGCGTCCCGCGGCAGAAAAATACAGAAACAGAAAACAGAAAACACAGAGGCCAAACACACGAAAAAGAAAAATTATAGTAGACGAGTCTCGCGAGAGCAGAGCGCACAAATTATATTCAACTTAAAAAAAAGCGAAAAAAAGAAAAAAAAATTCCTACTCGTCGCTCGTGAGAGCTTGTATTTTGTTATTTTCATTTCGCGTAAGATTTCAGCTTGCTTTTCATCTTCATCAGGCGAACAGCATTTGCTCAATTATTGGAAAACAGGGTGTATATACACAGAAAAAGAAGAACCGATCAGATTGATGTGTGCAGATCAATTTTATATTATTTAAAGATCAAGTTAGTCATTTTGATATGAATAAAGATTATTTTCATCTTATGTTACATTTAAAAGTAATATCTTCTTTTAATTTCTATGAAATAACTGACAGATTTAATAATAAGTTCTTACTAAATCATTTTACAACAAATTGTATGAGATAAATTCTGAATTTTCTCGGTTACAACAAATTATATATTTAATATTTAAAGCTTCTATATACTTAATCTTTTTTTAAGTTCAGATTCGTTGAGAATTTTAAAATTATTTTCATAAAAATAATGTTTAGTACCCTGTTTATTTTCAGATCACCCTGTATGCGGAATACGTCCTTGCGTGGCACTTCGTAATCATCATCATTACCATCGGCATCGTCATAGGCATCATCGCAACTAACGCAATAATGATCATCGCAATGATGAATATTCGGAACGAGAGGAGATAGCTGACGCTCAAATAATTTAATTTTCATTTGCAGAGACCCCTCCTTCCGCCATCTCCCTCCCCTCTTTCCTGCTTTTCCCATCGCACTTACCTACGCTAATGTTTAATAAATTCCGCCTCTCTGCGTTTTTTTCTTTCTGCTGTTTGTTTTTGCCTTCAATGGCTGGTTAATATTAATAGTATTAATATGCTTGCTGTTGTTGTTGTTGCTGCTGCTGCAGCTGTTGGCATTTGATTAACGCTCATTAGCGTCAACAACAAAAACAACGTGCACATCAATTTTTAAATACGGCAATTATTTTAATTTCTTTCGGATGATAGAGGAAAAATGCTAAAGAAAGAAGAAAACGAGAGCGTGCAGAGAATTTCTCAAATTAAATTAAAAAAAAAGAGGAATGGAATGAAAAAGAGAGCTACATTACAAGAAATTCTAATAATACATTTTTGGACGAGCGAATTTTATAATTCTTACCCACGCAGCACTTAAAAGCTGCTAACTAGGTAATATTGGGCACATTACTCATACGCAGCGTGTGCCGAAATGGGACTTTGAATGGCTCTGCATTTATTGAATTGACTGAGCGAATGATTGCAGTCATTACATAGCTTCCCCGGATTCTAGTCTGTACACTTAGGAAAACCAAACAAAAATACTATCACCATTAATTATGGGAAACATTTTTTGCTAATTAATGTATATAACATTAAAATTGTTTTTATTATTTCTTTTATTATAAAAATAATTTTTTTTAGAAATCTCATTTTTTTCCCAGTACATTTATAAACAAAAGCTCAATCTAGTCAAGTGCCTGAGCATTTGGGATAAACACTCTGTGGGGGAATATCTGCGGGCATTAGTCTTAATCTGACTGCAGCCAGAGATTTATGGGATTTATGCAATCAAACAGTTGCTGACCACATTTCACATTTCAAATAAGCTGCCTTGAGAACTAGTCAACTATAACTATAACCGTTTGAAATGCCCATTAAAATGTATAATGCTTAAATGAGCTTTTGCCGGTCTTAATGTGTTGAGTGCGACTCGGTCATTACACTGGAAATATTATTTTTTGGTATTTTCAAATTATACGATTAATGTGAAAATAAAAAGAAAGATTATTTGGGTGAAATAAAAAATAAAAGATATTCCATCTTTAAAAAAGTGCTTAAACAAAATTAGGACAAATTTGATTTAAAATATATTCTACATTTTGGTAATTAAGCTGAAAAAACTCTGAATTTATTTTTCTAATTTTCCAATATTTGATATATTTTTTAGATTTTTTTTTACAATATTTGAAAGGTCTCGATGGTGTGGAAAAGTGATTGTCGATCGGGGAAATATTTTGTTTTTGGCCCTTATTCGTTTTTGGCCATATCATGGAAGACTGCACTCCGAGCTGCCGATATTAAAGCACTTAATTTGCATTTCACTTTTGGCTCAGCACAGCACAGCACAGCCATTTTCCATTTTCCGTTTTCCCCAGCGAGCCTGCCATTTCCATGCCACACACACATCGTGCTATTAAAAGGAATTTCTATTTTTTTCACCGCTGGGTGTGAATGACAAATCTGCAATGTGCAATGCATTTTCCCCACATACATACTTACATATACGTAAGACTTTATATGTACATGTGTGTGTATTAAAGCTAAAATTATGTGCCCGCAATCACGGGCACTCACAGCACTCACGAATCATATTCAGGCACTCACAGTTTATTTTCTTCTATATATATATATAATATATATATTTTTTTCTCTTTTTTTGAGGCAATTGAAGCGCTGCTGGCAGAGCAAATTTAATGCACGGGAAAAATGTATTTTATTTAGTTGAAGCAAAAGCAGAAGAGTAATGCTTCTGCTGCCTCATCTTGAGCCATATTTTATGGGTTTTTCGCTTTGGTTTTGGTCTTGTTTCGTGTGCCAGCCAGCAGCATTTCTTCTTGGGTGTCACGCTGCGTATGAATAATGTGAGAAGCGGGAAGCGCGCGCGTTACGTTACGTATACGCCCGGTGCGACGGCACTGCATGTGGCAACTAGACTGCGACCGCAACGGGGGACTTTCGAGAGAGAGTTCCCCTTGATTGACTTCTGTCAGCAATTATTCCGTTTTATTTATTTTCTCTACTTATATTTAGGTTTTTTTCTGTGTTTTTTTTTTTTTTGGTTTTTTGGGCCTTGGCACTTGGTGACAGGAAATAGGAAATGTTTTTCATATTTAAATTAGCTTGGCCTGCACTCAATAATACCCCCAGATGTCAGCGTCATTCGGTCGGTGTGCGAAATTCCTGTGCAACTCGTGACTTGTCGAAGACAAATTGAAATGACTCAACGGACATGACCAACATGTGAGCAGGTTATGACTCGAAAGTCGTATTTTCCCGAGACAGGGAAAGTTCAGGGTTCGCTGAACCGAGAAAAGACAATGTATTTTCGGATTTCTTAGAAAGAATCGATTCGAGGCGTATATTTCAAAGTCTAAAATGGCTAGGAGCAATTTATAATATTCAAGAAAAGTATAATAGATCGCAGAAGATTATTGATTGTTCAGGATTTCATGTTTATCTTTTAACTGTAATAATTAAAAAATATTTAAAAACATATTGCCATAAATTATAATTTATGAATATATGTTCGTTCGCCTTAAGAAATATACATAAAGTGTATTAAAATATTTTTAAAATATGTATGGTTATATGGTTATATGCTTTATGAAAGAAATTCTTAATCTTAAGTACGAAACGATTGAAGAATTTTTGTTAATACAGTCCCTTTTAAAATATAGGTTCATACATTACCACTGTTGTTTCATATTCTGTTAATGGTACCCAATACATATAATGATATAATCATATAATCGATGATTGCTAGCATGCAAATAATCAAATAATAATTTCAAGACCAAAAAACCATGGCAAACCGATAAAATGCGAGTGCAAAGACTGGATAAAATGGCGAAAAATTACCCTTTTAAAATCCCAAATAAAAAAATGGATTTCGTAATATTCTCTATAATTATCGGGTGTTCAGGTAGTGAAAGAAAAACCGCATGCAAATCACAAAATGCAGGACAACAGTGGCAAAAAGACAACGACAACAAACATACAAACATCAAATATGCAAAGGCAGGCAAGACATAACGATAGAGATAGATAGATAGATAGAGAGAGACAGAGAAAGAGAGAGCGATATCGGCAGATCAGATCTCTCGGCATACGTACGATCGGTCAACGAGTATAGAGGCTTCCTGTTCTTTAAACCTGGAAAAAGGGTTACAATCTTAATGAACAACGATAATACAGACAACAATTATAAGAATTTCACTAGGTATAGTGGAGGAAAGAGAGGGGAAAAAAAGGAAAAAATAGGGGAAAGCCGGGAAAAAAACGGGGGAAAATAGGAAAGTTAGAAGGCAAATGTAGCTAAGGGAAGGGGGCTGAAAAAAAGCAACAACAGAAATTCAAAATTAAATCAAAAATATATAGACACAAAACTGCAAATATAAATAATAATTTATTACATATTTGCTGCATTTTTTTTGTTTTTTTTTTTTATAGATCCTAAGTCAAAATACCTTAAACTAAATTAATTGTTTTAAAAGGGGGATTTTCCAAAAATGTTTAAATAAATTACAGTTTTCATTTAGTTCATGGAAATATAATTCTCTGTGTGTATTTTCCCCAGAAGCCCAATTGATGCGTCACGTGCAACCAAATGCTAAGTGGGTGTGTGACGAAAGCCGGGAGGGTGAAAAGGGGTGGCAGTGTGGCAATGTGGAAATGTGGGGCGGCAACCCCCAACGACTTTCGCTGACGCAGACAATGACCCCCGCCGCATAGATCAGTGCAAATCCAGCGTCATGACGTCATTCCACCACGTCACAACAAACAAACAGACGGACAAACAAAATGGAGAACGGAGAATGGACTGCACAAAAGTCGAAGTTGAAGTGTTGACATTTAAGCACATGGCCAAAGGACCTCCGACCCCCGTTTGGCAGCCGACTTTGCCGCCCATTTGTCTCCTGCATTCAGAACTCTGTGTGCAAATGTCATTGGGCACAAATAAGGGGGCCGAAAAGAAAATGAGGCGGGGCAGAGTGCAAAGGCCCCTTGCATAACCGGAGGTCAGCTAATCGGGACCTTTGGCGACGTTACAACGTTATCTAACTTTGATTTGGTTGGAAAAACATTAATTCGTTAACCAATTTGCCGATTGCAATTTTAATCATTATCTTTTCTTAGATAAAAAAAAAACCTTCACATAACCAGAGGTTAGCTTGCGCTAAAAGTGTAAAGAATTTGGAATTTGTTTTTTGGACTAGCAATAGTTCAAAGAGTTTAAAAGTTAAACAGGCATTACAATTATTGGCTAACCTTAAGTTAAGCTTAAGTTACCACCTAACTATTTGCTGTCCTGATTCAATATAAACTACTCCCTTCAGTTGTTTGCACCCCATGGACATGAAATAAAATTGTCTTTTGTGTTTATTTATTTTTCCCGCACCTCAGTTAACCCAAGTTAACCCAAAACTAACCCACAATCACCTCAGAATCCGAAATACTAAAAGCAGAAAGGATTTTCCTGGCAACTCAATTAAAAGAATTTCACTTCCTTGCCCCGCGATTCCCTCGATTCAAACTCCGTTTCCAATTTGGTTTCTCTTTGGCGTTCTCTCAGTTTTCTCCATCGGTTTTTGGAATTGATGGCAACCAACAAAGAATTTTACTTTCGCAGGATGAATTTCAAAAGGAATTTGCATGGTTGGCTGGACTAAAACTTTATCGACGGGGGGAGGGCGACACCTGACACAGTTTTGCGGATAAATTAATGAACGGGATCCCAAGTTGTCGACAGGCGGGAAGAGGACTCCGATGAGCCTGGGGATTAGGATTAGTTTCAATTCGTGGTAAAACGAATGTCGGCACTCAAGAAAAAGGATGATCCATGTTCAAGTAACAAATTCTGCATGGAAAGTCACATAATTTTAGTAAAATCTTTTTTTACAATTTTATAGGCAAAATAGTTGTTTCTTTTTTTACTGTATATTTTAAGACTGAATTACTCAATATTTACTATTTTTCACTCGCTTTAAGACTACATTTTTTTCCCAGTGTGGAATTTTTAGGAAACTCTACCCCACTACACAAGTATTGTTTTCTTTCATTTTTGCCGTACGAAACACAAAACAATAAAAACAATTCCACTTAACTGCATCTATTATTGTTGCCATGATTATTTTCTCGTTTTTCGGGGTGGCTGTCCGAAAATGTGAGAAGGAACATCCCGAGATGCCGACAACAAAATATTATGACTAATTGTGAGTTGTTTTGCTTGAATGACGACCTTGACATTTACACGGAAAATAGGAATATAGGAAAATCGGGAAATGGTTGGGGAAAATGTGGGTGGTATGCAAGACAGAATCTCGGACAGTCGGCTAATTATTTGTTATTAGTGTTGAAATCTTTATGAAACTTGGTCGTCAGTCAATGGTTTTCGGTTCTCGGTTTTCTCTCTGTTTTTTCTTGTTGCTATATTTCTCTTTGCCTCTAGTTTTGGGTGAGCTGAAGACCCCATCCATAAATACGTGTGTGTAATTGACAGCTCATCAGGAACATTGTTTGAAAGTGGCAGCCCCTAGAAATATTCCAACTTGATTGAAAGCAAACGCAGCGTGCGCTGAAAGGTGAAGATTTCCCAACCTCCCACCAGCCCCTCCCCTTGAATTTTCCTCCCCCAGTTCGGCCACGAGGGGAAAAGGGAGGAAGAGCGGAAAAGAGGGACAGTTTGGCAGGCCGAAAAACTTTGAAGGCAGACAAAAGTTTTCGGCTTCCATGCCGCACTGAAAACAAATGCAAATTGCGTTGCTGTCGCCTGCCAAAAACATTTGACCGTAAGGGGAAAACTACAACAACAATACCTGAGGAAAACCGACCGCAACAACAACAACGGTGGCCAAGAAGGTCGAACAACTGAGGGGGAGAATAAAATACTTATTCGAACTAAAACCGAGTTGGCTTTACTTAAGAGAATTATACAAGGGATACAGAAGCTACAGGAATTTTAATTGTAATTTATTAAGTTGATTCAATGATTCACTTAAAATTATAATTGATATATTAATTTTGCTATCAGAGTTAATTCCTTTTTCTGACTTTTATTTTATTGCAATATTACTGAATTTTTGAGGAAAATATTTTAGGAAAAAATTCTTCTTATTTAAACTATATAAATTTTTGAGAATGTAACTTTTAATTTAATTTTTTTAGGGCCGTTTTCTCTTCCGCTTGTTAAAAAAAAATAGGATTAAAACCTTGAAATCGTATGGAAAATCAGAGATTTAACCCCACTTTAAATTTACCAGGCGGACGAAAAAACAACCCTTAAACAGATAAAGTTATGCTAAAATTAAAAATTTTAAAATAACTAAATGTAAAATGACAAACCTACAATTAAATCCTCTAGTTATCATTCAGTTAAAAATCTAAATTTAACTCGTAAATCATTCCCTCTCATTCAGATTTTCCCGCTTGTTTCGTGTCGTTAATATGTAATGAAAATCTTGTTATTTCCGTAGTCGTAAATATTCTATTTACTTTACGGTTTCAAGTGGTTTTTCCTGCCAGACTCTTAAGTGTATTTTTTGTTGTTGTTGTTGGACCAAGTATTTTGGCTTTTGTAATTTTTGCAGCCATAATTTGCGCTCTATATTTCAAAAAGGGGGGAAACAAACTGAAAAGAGGGGGTAAAGGGGGGAAAAGCCCACTTTGGGCGCTGTAAAAATGTAAATATTTTGCCAGCCTTTTCCCTTTCGATTTCCCCGCCGCTTCTCCACATTTTTCCCATCTATATTTCCATCTTTTGATGGTGATCATCAACAGCCTCCTCCTTTTGTTGTTGTTGTTGTTTCAGCTGCATGTGTAATTAGGTGTTATTGTTTTTGTGCATAATACATGTGGGTGTCTGTGAGTGTGTGTGTGGCCCCATTGCCGCTGCCAAAACGTATAAAAAAAAGAATTGTAGGAGTGCAGGGGGATGCACTCAAAAACACAGAAGCCAAAAGGCTTGCCAAAAAAAAAACCAACCTCACACACACACACACTCATGGTGGAAAATAAACAACAACAAAAAGGGAAGCCGAAAAAATTGCATTTCCGGCCTCAGTGTTGCATAACGCGTTTTTGGCCATGCATGTGTAATGGGGGTTTTTTGGGAGGGTTTCGGGGGAGGGGATTTTCGGGAGGGACTACTGTGACTAACTAATTGAGGTTGAGGCCTTAGGCGCTGTGAAAACTATGGAGAAAATATGCCCTGCATCAGGCAGTAGATACTGCACGAAAAAAGTTGGAAAATGAATTAATGGATCTTACGAGACTCGTATTGAATAATATCATTGGTTTCCAGAGATTATTTAAATTTTATTTTTAATGAAATTAAAAAATTTCACTGCATAAATATTTATAAAATGGGTAATAATAAATTGGTTATAATAAATACTCATTATTCAGTCAAAAATCTAGTCATAAGATTGTATTTAAAAAAAGATTTAAATTTCAAATTTTTTAACAATTAAATTTTCCGTAGTGCAGGGCTTTGCATATTTTGTGAACTTTAACGAAGTGCTGGGGGGAATGGGGGAGTAAGCCCCCAGCAAAGTCACAGAAATCCCACTGAGAGTGACAAAGGGACAAGGGTGAAAATATAGAGGGGGAAAGCTCTGGAGCCTAGAGATGCCAGCAAAGTTGTTGCACTTTTCGCATGTGTGCGTTTGGAATTTAGCTCGCTTCTCCATTGAGCCATTTTCCCTCGTCAGCGTCGCACCAATGATCCCTCCATATGCCCTTCTAAATTGTTCAAATATCCCCGGCCATGTTATTGAAAAATCCCTCAAAAACCAATCGAAATATTCAAAACAATATTATTATTATGAATATTAAATGTACTCGAATCGGAAAAAATTAAAAAAGTTTTGGATAAAAATCGAAAAAGGCCAAACTTATCCTTATTTATATAAAAACAATTGTTATAGAAATTTACAATTATGGAGTGGAAATTGAGAAGTAGAACCATCAATAAATTAAATATGTTGCGTATAGTGTTGGCAAAGATTAAATAAAGCAAGAAAATTAGAGAATAAACCGAGAAAAGCCCTTTTGAAAAGAAGACAGAGAAAAAAGGAATGTTATTATAGAGAAAGATAGAAAGAAAACGGAGCAGAGCCTTAGATAAATCAAATATATTTTATATAGTGTCGAAATAGATTCAATATAGCCAAAAAAAAAAATAAAATATATATACAAAAAAGTCTTTAATTAGGAAAAACCCCCCTTAAATAGAGACAGAGAAACACACGTCATAAAGGAAAAATAGTATCGGTAATAGTGTAGATAAACACCACAGAAAACAACATTAAACGTACTCAAAGTAATCGTACCAGAAAAAATGGCACAACAAAGCAAGGGGACCATAGGCGAAAAACTATAATCAAAGCCGTTTCGGGGAGGGGGAAGCACAAACATGGAAAAGGTGTTGAAAATGTCCAGCATATTCATTATCTGAGCCCCAAATAAATAAACAAGTGAATGTTTATGGTTGTCATTCACGAAGACACCAAATAAATAAAGGGGAGAACTTGGCTTAAAAATTAAATTTCAAACGAGTTATATAAACTGAAAACTTAGATATTAATGAACTATTTAATAAATGGGGGAGATGGGAAATTCAAATGCCTTTCGAAGAGTGCAGAGTTGCAGAATCACTTACCTTTCGCTAGCGATGCTTGAGTTTCGAGACATGGACTTGGGCGACATCTCAAAGTCGGAATCGGAGCGATATAGAAACGATTCGCGACGCTGCGGCAAATTCTGTAGAACCAAACCGGCGCTGGGAGAGCCGCCCTCGAGCGGTGATCGAGCGCCCTGGCCATTTTCTACATCGAAACTGCAAGGGAAAATGTTGAGAAAATCTAATTATTATGTGTGTTTTGATGGTAAATGGTTTAGATCAGTGGCATTTATTCAAAAATTTTCCTGATTAAATATAAATAATTTTACATCTTTTTTTAGATACATGATTTAATTACGAACTAAATATATATTTCATATAAAATACCCTAAAATGTGAACGCAAAAGCAGCGGAAACGGAAGCGCGCCTAACAAGGCGCATTTAAAGTTTCATTTCGTTAGTCATCTTTTGAGCTTGCCTTCTTCTTGTTTTTTTCTCTCAGCTCGCTTGTCTGCGGCAAAAAGTTTTTCTGGCTGGCAGAATTCTTGTAACAAGTCCTTCTCCCATACCCCTAATAAAAGAAAAAATACAAAAAATGCGAAAGCAAAAGTCACTCCACTCCGCCCGAAAATGTGAAAGGAAAGTTTAGTCAATTGTGGGCCAAGCCCACGAGTTTTTGGGGGAGTTGTTCAAAATAAAAAAAAGAAACTTCCATAAAACTGCAAGCTCATCTTGGCCAGCAGGACGCACTTCAATTTGCCGCTAGGTTTCTGCCTGTTGGTGGGATTTTTCCTAAGCTTTTATCTAGTAGTTTTAGGATTTTTACAAATTTATAGTCGCTTTCAAAAATATAAAGAGAGAAGGCACTTGGGATAGTTACAGTTTAGTTAGGGAAATATTCTTATATACATTATATACATATCCCCTAATTAACATCTTATTTTGTTCTAAGTTAAGTTACACGTTTAATTGTTCAACTTCAACTGTGTAACTTATAATAACACAAATTGTTTGTACAAAGGGTCAAATAAAAGCTAGAAGTAATACTAAAAAAAATGTATTATTTCAGAGTTTTGGTATTAAACTATCATTAAGCAGCAACATCAAGTAGATTCACGACTTAATATCGAGTTACCTTTCATGGAACATAAATTTCGACACAACCTAATTGAAAACTCACCGAATGGGTAAACGAAAAATATCAATTCGAATGGAAACTCTTGGCTCAGGCACTTTTCCGCAACTTTCTTGCCCCACACTGAGCTGACTCACCCCGCACACCTCCCCGCCGGCTTTTCCGAACACCTCCCTCTCATTTTGCTCGCAAGGCTGAGGGAAAAGTCGTAAAGAAAAATGATGTTTTAAGTAAAATTTATACCGGGGTCATTAAGTAAACTTGGCACAAAGTTGTTGCCGCTTGTTGCTACTATTTCGTTTTTGTGAGAGGGGGGGAGGGAAAGTTCTGGGAAAATGTTGGAAAATGGGGGTGGCGGCGGTGAGCAACAATGTCGCCAGTTTCCCTGGCATACATTGTGGCGCTTTTCCGCAAAAGTTATGGCAACAGCAGCGGCGGCGACAAACTGTTTTTAGTTCGGTTTCAGTTTCCAGTTTCGGGCATACATTTTCCCGCTTTTCCTTTCTTTTCTCGATTTTTGTATTTTTAATGGTGTTATGAACACTCCGTATTGTTGCTCTACTGCCAACAAATTCGCTTTGTTTTTGCATAGTCAAAACAAATGCGAACGCGAAATGGGAATATTTCTACTCTGTTGATTTGGTTCTCAACTGGTTTAACTATTTTATTTTTTAATTGGTCGAATAACGAGCTAGAAATGTACATTTCAGGAGATACAATTTTGTTGGGATTCCTATTCATTACTATTTATTTTGTCTTGATTATAATTCATGGCCCCGAAATTAAGAGGAAACTGTTCATATTTATTTCGAATAAATATAATAACTTTAAACACTAGGAATAATATTTATAAAGATTTTTGATTAAATTTGTAATAATAATATTTGGCCAGTAATTCTTATTTATTAGTTTAAAACTCACTTGTAAGCAACTTAATAGTTTCATTCAGTTATGTTCAAGTTGCCACAATTATTTATCTCTTCCCACTGCTTTTATCTGCTTATTTCGCCGCCCTTCTTAATCCTTTCTTTGCCCAATATTTACTTAGTTACTTTGTAATGCACTCGTGCATTCATTCGCACCATGAATGCAGCATTCATTCCCTTCAAAGTCGCCGAATACTTGGCGCCTGCTTATCCTGACATCCCAAGGACCTGTCGTAACACTCGGAAAAAACTCACAGAACATGGGGACAAAAAACAACACTCAAGCTCATAAAGCGTCCTGTCAGAGGCAGGGCGCAAAAAACGCAGACAAACCAAACAAAAAGTGAGAGAAAAGCGTGAAGAAAGGCCAAATAGAAACAAAGGATGAGCGAGCAGGACAATTGTTCTGCGTGTGAAGGAGTGGGATAGAGGCGAAAGAGACAGCAATAATAAATAAATCGCCGCTGTCCAGCGTTTAGAAAAATTCACAAAAATTGCACAACACTTTGCTTATCGTTGGTCATTGCAGCATAAGAACCTTATAGAGAAACTAAACCAAATTCTAAGGAATTTTTAACTAGATACACCAGCCGGTGGGGGGCTTAGAGGGCGCCGTGGGCGTGGCAACAGTCAGTCAACTTTGACACTAACAACCCACCTGTAAATAGGTATATATATAGCCTCATCAAGCCCACTTATTCCCTGTTAACCCGGCGGCAAACGGAGTATTCTATACCCTACCAGAAGTATAGTTATTTACTCTATCACCAGGAATTTTCTTAAATTTTTTAAGACTTTTATAATGTTACCTTATAAAAATAAAACGAGCTATTAACCATTAGAAGAGATAGCAAAGAAAATTTGTTTTTTTAAATTAGTATAATAAATCTGGAAAATGTTTCAGGATTCAATTATTGATAGTTTGATGATTTTTGCTTAAATTACTTTGTTTTTTTTTATTTCTTTCCCTATTTGTCATTTCTCCTCTCAGTCTTTCTTTATTTCTAGTTATGTACTTGAAACATTTGATTTATGCCATTTTATAATAAACTTAAGAGTAATTTATTGATAGTTTAGATCTTTATTATCTCTAAGATAGAGTAATTCCACCTTTCTACTTTAAAGAACTCCCAGAGTTTCTTTATTTCTAGTTGCATACTTGCAGGCGCCCCCGAATACCAATACATATACAAGTTAGTGGGTGGTGCTGTAGGGGTTGGCTTTTTTTTGTTGTGTGTGTGTGTGGGGGGGGTTAGGTAGGTGGGGCTCCCTTCATTTAAGCCGTGACGTGCTTTAAGCCACACAGTCGCACTCAAGCCGGATGAAGGCGAAAGTAGCTGGCTGGCGGAAGATTGGCTTTGTTGTTGCGTCAGGCGAAAAGGGGGTGGGGAAAGGGGTGGAGAAAGCGGCGGAGAGAAAGAGAGAGAAACGGAAGTGTGCCCGACGGCAGCTCTTCATGTGCCTAATTATATGTGCAAATAAATGAACGACGCATGCTGATTGCGTGGGTGTGTAAGTGGGCGCGAGTACGAGAGTGTGTGTGTATTAGTGAGTCAGCCGTCTGTCTGTATGTGTATATGTGTTTTGGGATCATGCATATATATGTTTGCCCTAGACAAAAGGTTGTCTCTTTCGCCTAAAAAAAGAGCGCTAAGCTCGACGCCCCAGCGCCAACTTAATTAGTTTGTTAAACTCGCAGCTCACGCACACAGGCACACAGGAGTGTCTGTGAGAGTCCTTTGGCAGGGAAATACCTTTCGAAATCCCGAAAAAACAAAGGAAAACTGAGGTGTTTCTCACAATGATTTCAAGCAGACTTTAAGCTAACATACTAGAGCATTTGGAATTGAAATTCACAAATTTAAAGATTTATTTCTTATTTATTTTGTTCAAGGGAATTTTTATTTAAAATTATTTCAACAAATTTAAACATTTTAATTGTTTTTTTTCTTTTGAAAAATGATACATTCATTAGTTTTAAAAATTATTACTATAATTATGAATCTGTATTTAAAAAACCCAATTTTCTTTAAATCATAAACACAAACATCTGGCAGGATTCCACTTACCCATACAACTACACACACTCACTCACACACAGCGGGGGCAAGTCGTAAGTGGCCTCTCACTCCCACAATACATGCACACAAATACCGCTAGTCGGAAAACCTTGAGAGCAAATGGAAGCCCCGAAAAGAATTCGAAAAAGGGAAAATAAGAAAATAAGAAAAGTAAGAAAAATATAACCAAAAATCCAAAAACCAAAGCAAAGTGCAGAGCCGAAAGAAAAATGCTGGCGAGACAGAGACAGAGCAACCGATTGCAGCTGTGGGTGCGAAAAGAGGTGGTGCGGTGGGTGGTAGATGGTGTGTGGTGGATAGTGGGCGGTTGCCGAGGGGAAAGAAAAACTGTCACAAGGCCATTAACAAAAGCCTGAGACTGACTGCCATGGAGGTTGGACGATGATGGAAGATGGAAGCGCAGAGGGTTGGTTGGAAAAAAAACCAAATTAAAATTGCGAGGCGAAACAAAATGGGCACAGTCACCTACACCCACAAACCACCCACTTTACCCACAGAGAAAAAGAGTTCAAACTAGTCTATTTTATCCTGGAAATAATTTCTATTAGTCAGAATGACCAAATATCATAACTTGATTTTTCAACAATATTTTCAAATAAACTAAATTCTTCTATTAAATATTTTTTATCAAGAAAACATAAATGTTAAGTACAAATTAATTTATAATAATATTTCTAATTTATAATTTCATATTTTAAAACTAGAATTTTTTTAAAATCTCTTTTTCTATATTTTTATAACCTTACATTTATGTATTTCAAAGTTATTAAAATTTTTAATATTTTAAAACAGTAAGAAATACAATAAAAAGATAATCAGGCAAATTAGATATAATAAAATACGATTTTAATATAAAACTGCAATTTTTCTGGTTTTCCCCCGTGTGTTAATCTTTTTTAAAGGCAAGGTGAAATGGATGGATGGGCTAGCGATGGGCGGTGGGCGGTCCTTGCATGGGCATGTTGAATAATTTCACCTGAGTGGGCGTGGCACGTACGCATGTATGCGTGTGCGGACAGGATCCGCTGATTTTCATTTCATTGCCTCGTGCATTTGATTAACCATCTGGCGCCGTCATCTCTCGCCAAATTGAGCATGTTGCCAGCTCTGGGCAACAACAATTTTCAGTGGAAAAGCGAGTACGAAGGAAGGGCGTTTGGGGGGTGGGGGGAAAATGCACAACGAACAATTAAGTGCACTAACCAATTGAGAGGACTCAATTGCGGCCAACTGATCCGGCAATTTGCATGCCAGGGAATTGGGTTAGTTCAGGATTTTCATGGGTAAACAGCGCAGCTACACAGTGGGAAAAACAGTATGGATATTAAAAATAAGATAATTAAAATAATCAAAAAAATAAGCTTAGAAATATTTTTCTAAATTTAAAAAATGTCTTTAAATTTGTAGTAAAATAAAATGTATATTCTTATTTTCTTTCTCCCAACTTTTTATTTTTTTAGCGCTTTTAATCTCTCAAAACAAAAAAGCAACCGCAAATCATGTCAAATACCTCATATTTCCAAGTTTTTTTTTCTTTTTGCATTTTTAATTAGCACACAAGCAGATATGAAATCCTGAATCCCTTTAGTTTTCCCCCCCTCTTTTTCCTATTTCCTGCGGTTGGTTGCCTGGGAAAATGTTTTCGGGGTAAAGAGAGAGATGAAAACCCAGAACGTGTAACCTGGCAACCCTGGCCATTCGTTATGACAACCCCGTTTAGGTTTCGGTTGACAAACAAACAAGTGCTGAGAAATGCAGTTAGCTGGGAAAACTACGCCATAGTAGACATCTAGAAATTCCAAAAAACAATCGACAGAGATTTTCGTGGAAAAGCCAGATGAAAATGAAGACCCAGGGAAAATACGGAGTAACAGCGACGGCGGCCGCACAGGTTCTCTGTGAGGATGTGAGGAACTTCAGCACACGTCGCCGCAATATTCTCTACCTGATGCACCGCTATCTGGTGGAGAATGGCTACTACTCGAGTGCCGAGGCCCTGAAGACCGAGGGCCGCCTTACCGAGGAGTACGAGCTGTGCGATAACATAGATCTAGATGGCATGTACCTGGAGTACGCGAGCTTTTTCAACATGAAATTCGGTAAATACCCAAAGATTCTGAAGAAGATGGCACCGAAAATCAAGGTGGAAATGGCGGCGGGAAAGAATCAGGAAAAGTCTGTCGCTCCCCCCAAGGAGATCCTTCCTCCGAAGAAGCAAACAGCAGAGGCTTCTCTGGCCAATTGGCACCTGGGCGTGGGTGCAGCCACGGCGGCCTTGAATGAGCAGCCGTTGCAGATCAAGAAAATGGAAACCACAGCTGCCGCTGATTCGATGAGTGGCCAGGAAAATCGAGCTTGTGAAATCGAACATGGTCACTTGGGTGGGGATGATGCTCTGTTTTCTTCGCTGGACTGGCAATCTTTGGCCGAGCTGGTCAAGACTTCGATTCTGCAGGAGAATATCAAGCTGAGATGGTCGGATGTGTGTGGCAATCAGAGGGCCATCGAACTGATCAAGGAGGCCGTCCTAACGCCCATTGAGTTTCCCCAGCTCTTTGCCCACGGACTGAAGCCCTGGCGATCGCTGCTCCTCCATGGGCCACCCGGAAGCGGAAAAACGCTGCTGGCCAAGGCCCTGTATTCCGAGACCCAAGGACAGGTGACCTTCTTCAATATCACCGCCAGCATAATGGTGAGCAAGTGGCGGGGCGAATCGGAGAAGATCCTGCGCGTCCTCTTTCACATGGCCGCAAAAAGGGCTCCTTCGGTGATCTTCTTCGACGAAATCGAGAGTCTGACCTCTAAAAGGGACAGGGCCACGGATCACGAGAGCTCGAAGCGCTTCAAGAACGAACTGCTGCAGCTGTTGGACGGCATGGAGCACACCCTGAACGGGGTCTTCGTCCTGGCCAGCACCAATTTGCCCTGGGACATCGACGAGGCCTTCCTGCGGCGCTTCGAGAAGAAGCTGCTCGTCCAGCTGCCCAACGAGGCGGAGCGTAGCTGCCTGATCAGCCGGCTTTTAGGCAGCAGCATCTCCCTGAATCCGCGACTCCTGGAGCAACTGGTCGCCATCTCGGATCAGTTTACCGGCGATGAGATTCGGCTGGCCTGCAAGGAGATCAGCATGCACCGGGTGCGCTGTGCCACCAAGGTGGGCGATCATCGGTCTACGGGAGCCTCATCCAAGGAATCGCAGGCTGTGATGGAGGCCAATGTGGAGAAGGCCTTCCGGCAGGTGCGTCCTTTGGGCCAGAAACTGTTGGCCAAGCACGAGCAGTGGCAGCAGGAGAATGGCTCTTAAACGGGGCTAACCCTCACTTAACTCGCACTTAATCGGTAGTGCAATATATATATTTTATACAACTTATACTAGTTCAAGTGTTTTTTTTGTCTATCTAAAATAAAATCTATATTGCAAACTACAAATACTTGCTGCTGTATGGCTAAAATAAAATAAGGTGACCCAAAACTGGAATTCTAAAGACCATCACATTTGTATAGTATTTTAAAAGTGGGGTACCTTCAAAACTGTTTCTTTTCTTTTGTAAATTTAATTAACTTTGTGATATCTTTTAACACTTGAAAATATCTAGTTTTACACAATCGAAGGAAAGGTGACCCCGACAGGGACTTTCATTTAATTGATTTAGTTTATCGAAGGTGAACCCAAACGTGACTTTAACAGCCTAAAATAACATCTATATCGAAAATAAAAACTATTGCTCTAATTCTCCTCATTTTATGTACCCAAATTAATTTAGGTGACCCAAACCGGGACCATAACTTATATCATTGGATTCCATTTTCAACATTGTCGTTAATTATTTAATTCTCATTTGCATAAATTAGTTTTCCCAGCCCTTTTCACACTGGGAAACTGATCAGTTTTTCATGGCTATCAAAAAGGTGACCCCAACACGGGACTTCTAGAGCCCATAACTTGGCCAGTTGGACTCTGATTTTAAAGTGTGACACCTCTAAAAATTTACCTGCCCGTTGTGCGTCTTCTCGCTCCGGCGATCGTCATCCGTGACACATATCTCCGAATCCGTCCGCTCGACCTGCGCTGCGTATTTCCGCCAGCATTGCCGGTGGTCACCGACCTCACACTGTACTCGGTGGCCGTGGAGCTCCGCCGATCGCTGGTCATCAGGTCGGAGCACATCGATGAGGACAGAATGGAGGCGGCGGATCTCCGCTTGCCGCCGGTGAAGGTTCCACTGCCGCCGCCGCTCGAGGATGTGGTAGTGGCGGAGCTATCCGATCTGGAGAAGAGCGAGGATCTCTTGCTGCGACTCTGCGACGAGCCACCGGTGCCCGTGGCATCCTGGATATTGCTGTAGAACTCTTCCGTCTCCCTGTCATAAGTCTCGTCCTCCTCGTCGTCCTCGTCCATGGGATCCACCTCGAACTCCTCGCCCTCCGCCTCGGTGGCCATCGTATCGCTGCGCTGGCTGAGTGCCCGCCGATTCCCTCCGCCATTCGATAGCGAGGATGTCGATTGCTGTTGCAGTTGGTAGTACTCGTGGCAATCGCCTCGGGAGCCCCGGGATCTGCTGCTCCCGCTGAGATAGCGATAGGGTGCCGAACTGGAGTTGCTGGTGGTGCTCAGCGAGTGCCGTTTGTTGGGACTTATTTCGAGGCTGGAAGGACCGCCGTTGGTGACCTCGCCACCGCCATCGCTTTCGCCGCCGCCCACGCTGCCGCTGAAGGTGACCTCGTGGAATTTGGAGGATTTGCGACGAGTGCGCGGCGCCATTCCCTCGCCCTGTCCCAGCGAAATCGAGGGTCTCGGCCGATTGTTGTTCTCACCCTTTTGATCCCGATCGCGATCTTGATCGTCTGGTACCAAGGTCAAGGCCAAGGCGGGGCGACCTCGCTTTCTGCTCCAGGGAAAGGCCCGTATGAATGCAAAGATGATGAACAGCGTGGCTATCATCTTGGCACACCCTTAATCTCCTTTTCTCTTTACTCGCTGCCCCTAGAAAATTGCAAGCACATCCTTTGGCATTTTTTTTATCCTTCGTCGTTTTAAGGTTTTTCTTTCTATTTTCGTTTTTCACTTAATGTCGATTTTATTGTTTTGCACTACTACTACTACAGGCTCGTCATTTTAATTAGTTCAATTTCGGTATTTCGGTGTGGTTTGCTATTTTTCCAAAAATACAGAAAGAGAGAGAGCGTTGTGATGCGAGAACGGAAACGGAAGTCCTGCTGACAGGAGGTGGGTTGGAAAGTGGGAGGAGGGGGGCTGCAGTTGACAGACACGTGGCCCGAATGATGGATCAACGGTCAGAGCTGACAGTCCAGGAAAATGAGGAAAAACAGCGGGAGAGAGTCACATTTCCTGCCATTAATGTTGTAGTAAAAACTTGGATTCCGTCAAAAAAAAAACAACAAAGTAATGGAAAAGTTAAGTAAATTTATACAAAAACCTAGTGACTAGGGCTGTAATAGTGGCCACTATCGTTTTTTTCGATACTATCGAAAATTAGAGAAAATAAACTACAAATCATAAAAAACGAAGAAAAATTAAAAAAAATAATTTGATTGAAAATTAATGCTGAAATATTTTTACAAAAATATATACATATATACAATACATATTCAGAAACAAAATAACGAACTTTTGAACTTCAATCGTGTTCTAGAAAAATATATTTTTTTTAAATTCCCAGCACATTACATTTAAAGTTAAATTATTTAGCTGTGCGATACTATTGGTAATGTTTTTTAAATTGTAAAACCATTGATAGAGCTATCGATCGTTGTTCCCAATCCTACTACTGACCATTAAAAAAGCACATACGCGATAAGTAAAAATTTTTCTAGCCTTTTAAACGATTTCAAATAAATGTTTTATTCAAGTAGTGAATCCCCGAATTCCCCCTATTAAAATCACTTAAAAAATCGTTACATTTTTCTTATTTTTTCCTGCCCAGTCGCAGTGAAGCAGTCACTGTTTGGTAAACACATTTAAACCCTCGGCAAATACATTTTCCACTCTCTGTGTGTTTGCCGTTTCCTGATCCACGCTTCATTTGCTTTTTGCTTATCTGTTTGCCACTGCTTTATACAGATATATATATATATCGGTATATATAGGAGAGTTCCGTTCCGAGCGACTGACAAACAAACCGGGGGGATAAACTGATGGATAAACTGCTGGATGGACGCTTGTCTATCTGGCTGCGAGTGATGTTTATGCGCAATTTTGATGGCGCTGCGAGAATATTATGATAATCAATGCACAATTATTGCACACACACATGCACATGGATATGGGATATAGGATATAGCGTATAAAGGACTCTAAGTGCAGGGCAACTTTTCTTTTTTTTCACTTTTCGAGTAGCATTTTTGCCTTTGTTAACGTTCCTATTTCTCGGTTTTCTTTTCTTTTCTTTTCTTTTTCTATTTTTTTTTCTTTTTTGCCTTGTTAGGGAGACAACAAAAATTGTCCAAGTTGTGCAGAGAATCACAGGATGGCAACAACAAGGGCACTAAGGACCCTTGTTGTTGCCTGAGCGGCTTACCCAACTGATGATGCTCCTTACTACTATCTCCCACTATCTCTACATCTCCTCCATCATCCTGCTGTTGACCTAAACTAGCTACTTTATAGTTCAACCATAATTGAAATGATTTAACAATGAGCCGGCGATACGGAGAAAGGGGGGAGAATCGGAGGGTTGGAGAAATGGGATTAGGTGGGTTTTCAGCTTTTCCTGAGAAAAAGTGACCACAACAAGTTGTTCGAAGAGTTTTAGTTGCCAATTTCCAAGAGATCAAATTTTTTGCCTTTCACAATGCTGGCATAATTTTATAAAGTACTTCGTAGATTTAAAGTGAAATTATTATATGAAATTGATTTCATTTCAAAATATAATCGTATTAAGTTCACTCATAAAAAGAAAACATTGTAAATTCTAAGATTTCATATGCAATTTAAATATTTTAATTCATTTTAAATATTCAAATGTTGAATTTAACAATCGTAGAAAATTACAAAATTTTAAACATTGATTTTAATTATTTTTTTAAGTAACTAACATTTTACATAAATATTTTTTATATTAAATATTAATAGGAATCTGTGAATACAATATGCAGATATTTCTTTTTACTATCCCTTTCCTTTTCTGTGTTAATAACCTAAATTCAAATAAAATTAAAGCGAATTTTAACTACTTTAATCTGGCCAAAAAAGCAGCCAATCTTAAACCAACTCAATTGCGTTTAATTAAAGTTATCATAGGGCAGCGAGGGCAGGAAGCGTAACAAATTCTAATGGAGGCAGAAGATGATGAAGCTGCTGCTGCTGCTGCTGCAAAAACCCCTGGCAATTTCCCCCCTTTTTCGCCTTCGGTACACGCACTACTTTTTAATTTGTTTAAATTGCATTAAAAAAGAAAAGCCGAGAGAGGTAAAAACTAGAAATAGCGGCGGCCAGGAAAACTTGCACCACGAAGGGAGGGAGGAGGAAAATGGGGAGCGGGTGAAGAAGTGGCATCTAAAGTGAATTAAGCGCAGCAAAAACGCTTTCCTTATTCCCATTTCTATATGTATGTAGGTCTATGTGCTCTGGTGAGTGATGTCCAAGTAAAGCTGGGGAAATAATTCTAAGCCAAAAACAACAACAAGTTGCGTTTAATTAGCTAGAGAGCCTTAACTTTAAGTCAATATTAGGTTCCTTCGCGATTTGTGGCGAATCAAAGTGAAGTGGAATGTTAGCTTAGTTAAAACCTAATTTATTAATAAACAAAAATAAGAAAATTCATAGATTTTGGTTTTTAGTTGTCTAAACCAGCTAGCTATTTATTTGTAAAGAACTATTATTTAGTTTTAGATTTATTCCGTAAGCCAGCTATTTATTTGTAAATATTTATTTATATAGGTAATTATATATTTATTTATTATTTATTTCAGGTTGAATCTGTAAAGATTCTCCGCCTAAAAGAGTGCTACACATTCTAATTGGCATTGCAGCGCCATCTAGCGTGAAAGGGCTGCGTCACAGGTGGCACTGCAATATCCTTCGAATCCTTTGCCCTGCCCCCGAATCCCTCCTACGCAATCTCTGCAATCTCCTCCGCATCTCTTGTGGCCAGCTTATCGTCCCCCACATTTCTCTAAGTGTTGCTAAACAAGCTGGAAACAGGGCCGCGCTTTCTCTACTTTCTCCTTTCGAGCGAGCATCATCCCCTCTTCCTCTCCCTCTCTCTCTTTTCGAGGAATGCCTTGGGCCCTGTTTGCTACTTTCACAGCGACTGCGCCTGTTCACACACAAACACACACACACACTCTGCCGCACACAAACACAAGTACACACGCACACACAAATATTTCCTTTCAATTCTTTTTTTT